GTGGGGGACGCATGTGGACGGTGCCACTTGGGCCTTCGGTGGGGCTCCCTATGGGGCCACGAAACGTGTGAGGGGTGTACCAAAATGGGTGTTTCGGACGCATGTGGACGGTGCTTCTGGGACCTTCGGTGGAGCCCCCTATGGGGCCACGAAGCGAGTGTGGGGTGTGCCGACATGCGTGTTGCGGACGCATAAGAGCGGTGCCACTTGGGCCTTCGGTGGAGCTCCCTATGGGGCCACGAAACGTGTGAGGGTTGTACCGACATGGGTGTGACGGACGCATGTGGACGGTGCCACTGGGGCCTTCGGGGGAGCTCCCTATAGGGCCACGAAGCGAGTGAGGGGTGTGCCAAAATGGGTGTGGCGGACGCATGTGGACGGTGGCACTGGGGCTTTGGGTGGAACTCCCTCTGGGGAAACGTGTGAGGGGTGTGCCAAAATGGGTATGGCGGACGCATGTGGACGGTGCCTGTGTGGCCGTAGGTGGAGTTCCCTATGGGGCCACGAAACGTGCGAGGGATGTGCCTGCATGGGTGTGGCGGACGCATGTGGACGGTGCCACTAGGGTGTTTGGGTGGGGCTCCCAATAGGGCAACGAAACGTGTGAGGGGTGTGCCAAAATGGATGTGGCGGATGCATGTGGACGGTGTAGACGCGGTGGAACTTCTCGGAAGGCTCGGAAGCCCCCCAGCCTTCTGAAAAGTTGTCTAAGCCTTCGCCGGAGACACAGAATACCTCTCAGAAGGCCAGAGGCCTTCAGATAAGCCCCGCTGCCTTCTGAGTACGCTTCCTCCTTCTCACTTCGACCCTCGCTCGCCGCCGAATCCTGACGGATCTTCGCGCGCAGCTGGCCGAACGCCGCCAGCGTCAAAACCACTCCAACTCAACCCGAATACCGAAATTTGGCTTCGGGGCTGGGTACGGGTTCCATACTATTTGTTGTTCATTGTTCCCCGACGCCCCCCACCCTCCCTATTGAGGACCGCAAGTTGGGGTGCTCTGGTGGGTGGTGAACAACGCTTTGGAATGCACGCCTCAGCGGAGGTGCTGCTGCAATCCGTCTGCTGCGCGTCCCACGTGCATAGGGGGTGGACAGAAGACCCCTTGAGCAACACAACCTTTGGTGAGAACGGGCCCGAGGTTCAAGAGGTCCCGACCCCTTTCCAGGAAGTATTGTTTCCTCCTGGATCAATTTTTTGATGGTCCAGCGGACTGGTTAAATATGCCCCAGAAGCCGAGATCGAGGAATAGTCGCCGGTTGAAGAACTCATATCGCCGGCGTTCTGGGACTCAAGGGCCGAAGGAGGACAATTCACCAATCGGCTTGGCAGGCTGGGGGCTCTGTCAACCTCAAGGTGCACCCAGGAATGGTGATTCTCTGGCGGCGGAGGAGGGAAATATGCGCGCGCGTGCGCGTGCGGGACACCTCCGCTCCTTGAGGGGTCGTCGGCTCCATGTTCCGCACGGGCCTCCCGCGCCGTCGGCCGTCCTCGGTGGGCCCCAGGGGCCAGAACAGCACCACTGCTCATGCAGTGCTGATGCGCTTCGCGACGCGAAGGGTATAGTCAACACTTCAGGATTCAGTTTTGGCCCTCAGCGCTCTGGGGCTTTGCTTAATGGGGGAGACAATAAAGGCGGGGTGAAGACATCTCCTGCACTTTCGGGGCCCCAGGGGGCCCTCTTGGACCACTGCCCTGCAAATCTTGGCCCCCCGAACAAAAATAGCTGCCCTCCCCAGAGCACAACGGCCGACGCCCAGAGCGCCAAGGCCGCGAGACCTCTGGCACACAACGACTCGGACCTGAAGGCAGTCCCCTCAGGGAGGGCTTGCGCCTGGAAGTGGCGCCGCGGGTCGCCCTGTGGCCCCTCGGGCCCGGAACAGTTTCGCGTCGGCGGCAAGGCAGAGTAACTGCGCTGGCGGAAGAGCTAAAAAACGAGGGCACCACGTAGCGACGGGTGCCAGATTGCAAGGAGAAAGGGCCGCAGCGTCGGGGCGACACACACACAGACAGACACACACACACAGGCACACACATACACACACAGACAGAGCCACTGACAAACACACTGACAAACACACACACACACACACATACACACCACACGCACACACATATACACCACATACGCAGGACACACACAATCGCACCCATGTTTGCCGTCGCGGCTCCGCGCGCAGCGACAGGGTCTAGAAAGGTCACACAAGTGGGCGCATACACACCACACACAAATACACGCACACACGCACAAGAACACACACGCACAAGAACACACACACACACACACGCAGATTGGCGTCATGATGCAATTGACTCAGGATGCGTTCCAGGATTCCCAGAGCATCTCGCAACAGACGGCCCAGGAAGGCCTCCTCCCCATCTTTCTCCTCCTTTTCCTCTTCCCCCTCCTCCCAAGATGCCGGTACAGAAGGCCTCTGCGCGGCCTGGGTAGCGGCTCTGGATGGCATCGCGTGGGACACCATACTGCGCCAACTGCTTCGGAGTGCTCGGCGGCCCGCGTTCCCGCACCTCGCGCATAAATCTCGGAAGTCTTCGAAGAAGTCTTGGAAATCTCAAATTCGCAGATTGGGACACTTCGCAAACCTCAGACGTCTATTGGAAAAACCGGCACTGCCTCCTGGGCCACCCACTCCGCGTATCGCGCCCCGACCGGCTTTGTTCCCTCGCCCCCGCGCCGCCACCCAGAGCTCTGCGGCCCAGGCCGCGAAGCGCGCGCGAAGCGCTGGTGCCATCACGCCCATTGGGGATCTGCCTGAACTCCTCGCTGCTCGAGCGACAACAAGCATAAGCATAAGCGTTCGGGACTCCACGCGGAGTTCTTAGACCTGCGCGGGGGCCCCCTGGCGGCGCCTCCGGCGTCGCCCCTGGAGCGCTCCGCGCGCCAGGGAGGGGGTTCCAGCGTAGATCCAAGCAGTCGGCACGGAGCTCCGAGCGTTTATGTTTATGCAGTCTTTTCTTCTTCGATGATCTGTGCACTTGCCGTGGCAAACGTCTTGGGACATCTTCAGATCGAAGACGCCTCCGGCGAGTCACCGCCGCCTTAGGCCTCTGGACGCGCCGATGCGGCCAAACGTGGAGCCAAAGTCTGGCCACACTATTGAACTATGTGTTCCCCCAGTCGCTATGGAGCTCCTTGGAAAACATATAGGAGAGAAAGAAGACGGAGGAGGGGGAGGAGGAACATGAGAAGGATGATAAGGAGGAGGAGGAGGAGGAGGAGGAGGAGGAGGAGGAGGACAAACCGCCCTCAGATCTGGGCTCCGCACAGCTCCTTGAGCAGCGGCACCAACGCCACGATCGGGTGCGGGGCCTCCTCCAACTTGTCCTTCAGCATCCTAATATCCTCCCTGATGGCGCGGCTGTTTGTCGAGCCTTTTCATTCGAAGTTTTTAATCAGCGCAACGTTGTGCCGGGTTGGGGGGTCGGGTGGGTACATGTTTGCCGTCAGTGAGCTCATGGCCGCCATGACGTTGCAATCATGGCGACGCAGACGTTTGGCTGAGGAGCGCTCCCGCGGGAGCGCCAAACGTGCCTTGCAGCAGAAAGCTCGCGCATCGCACCCCTCTAATCACAAGCAGGTCCGCGCAGATGAAAAGACGATTTGGGGACCAATACCAAAACAAAACCAGCTGGTGCGCGAAGCGCGCCAGGGACGGAGCCAGAGGCGCCTTCAGGGGGACCCAGCACCGATCCAAGAAATCCGCACGGCCCTCCAAGTTGTTCTGTTTATGGTAGTGCTTGTTCCCCTAAGCTTCCCATCCAATCATCCGGAGCATCCTGATGTCCTTCCTGCTGGCGCCGCTGTTTCTAGGCGAGCAGGCCGTCCCCTCGTCCTTCTGCCAAGCTTTGCCGTCGACACCTCGAAAAACTCTTGGGGGGGTTCTCATGTTTGGGGGGGTTCTCGTGTTTGGGGGCCCTCGGGCCTCCGGACGCCTCCAGGAGCTTCCAGTGGCCTCTGGTCCTCCCTGGCACCTCTGGGGGACAGGATGGGGGCGGTAGCAAAACTTATCACATATCTCCTCCTCCTCCTCCTCCTCCTCCTCCTCCTCCTCCGCGTTGGCGCCCGAGCTTTTCTCTCGCGCCCTCGCTCCGAGAGAGGCCTCCGCGCCCTGCTCGACTGTGCCCCGCACGGCCCTCGCCGCGCGCGAGACCAGGGCGCTCCAGGCCAGGACCTCGAGCCCGACGGGTTCGGCGGGAGCACGGAGCCACTCTGAGACGCAGGCTTGGATCCTCCGAGTGGGGTCCTCTGGCAACGTCGCACTTCGTAACTCGGGGGTGGTGAAGAAGGGGTCCCTTCCCACGTCTGACCGAGCGCTCCGCGAACGGGGTGACGCCCCGCCGAAGTCGGGCTCCGTGAGCTGTCAGAGGACCTCAGCCAGGGTCTCCGAGCGCTGTTCTGGGCTAGGGCGGCCCCGTGCGACCGCGCACCCTCTGCACGCGTGCCGTGCCGTGGCCCGCCAGCCCCACCCGCCTCGGGGCCTCCGAGCCTGGGCTCCGTCGCCGGCTCGGCCCAGCCGACGGCCACGCCTGGCGCGAAGCAGGAGCGGGTCCTCCAGGAGGCGGCGCCCAGGAGCCCAAGGCCTGTCCCCCGCGATCGACTCTTCGCCCCGAGCCGTTTTCTGGCGGTCCCGGGGCCCGTGGAGGGCCCGTGGAGGGCCCACGGGGGGGAACCCCCCAAACTCGAGATCCGCTCCCCTCAGGGCCCGCTTCTCTTCGTGGCAAGACATCCCAGGCTCTGCTTCTGAGCTCGGCGTCTGAACCCGTTCGGGTGCCGAATGGACGGGGGACACCAAAAGGTACCGATGCCGCCTCTCTCCAGAACACCTCGTGGGGCGCGCTCTGACCAGGACTTCGAGGCGAATCCAGCGGCAGCGACGAGAGCCTCCCAGGAGGCCCGAACAGCGGAAACCGGGGCAAGGTAGTGGCATGGTCACCTTTTCCACCCCTGAACGTCCGCAGCCGCGCGCGCCGCACCTGGCCCTAGCAGCGGGCCATGGCCCGCATCTCGCTGCTCACGCTCTCGCTCCCGGCCAGGTGCACGCCTGCAGCGGGCGCCTCGCGCAGCGTGCTCGCCGAGTGCGTCGTCTCCCTGCGGAGCAGGCTGCGGTGCGCGGCCCACGCGTCGCCCTCGATGACGACGAGCAGGGTGTGCAGGTACCTGCCGCCATGAGGGTGCACGTCTGTCCCCACGCGAACATAGGCAGGATAAGCAGATCACGAGGCCCGCGGCACCCCTCAGGAGAGCTGCCACTCGCCCGCTGCACGAAACAGCGAGCACAACACAGTCGCAGCGCGATGTGCAAAATTCAGTGTGGCAATCTGAGATCGCAGCTGGGACCTCTCTTTAAGACCATAGAATGACAAATCAAGACTCCGAGGAGGAGGAAGGAGACGGAGAGGGGGGGTTGGCAGGGGGAGGTGGGGGACGGAAAGAAACACAACGACGAAAGCCCGTACGTGCTTACGCAACCTGCGATACGACAATCTGTACGCAAGCACCCGCGGTCGAGTTCCCCTGTGCAGTCAGAGAGAGCGGCGGCGTATAACGTCGCTGTCTCTCAATGGCGATTTCTAAAACACCTCCTTCCTGTGAGGCCCGGGAACAATCGAACAGCAGGGGTGTCCGTGTGCATGTTTTGTGGCGGGGTACCGCTCGGGCACGGCTCCCGACAGCAGAGCGTACTTGATCGCCCCGAGGATCGGGACCGAGATGAACATGCCGGTCGTGCCGAGCTGGTACCCGCAGAAGGTGAAGAAGACAAATAGAGTCACTGGGTGTATATGCATGAACTCGCCTCCGAACTTCGAGTACAACTTCACCTGTATCGAATATCTGACAGACTCTGGAAACCCTGAACCCAATACTTCCTGCTGTTGACGTCTGACGTCTGCTTACACCGCCTTCCTCAAGAAAAACGCCCCCATGTTCCTTCCGCCGTTTTACTTCCACGAGCGGTCCGCCAGAAGGCAGGACGCGCCGAAGGCAAGAGCCAACAAGAGGAGGAACAACGATGAGATGAAGACTCAAGACGAAGTAAAGGGAAGGAGAAAAGATAGAGAGAGAGCGAGAGAAAGAGAGAGAGAGAGCGAGATAGAGAGAGAGGAAAAGCGCGAGGAGGAGAAGAAGAGGGAGAGGGAAGGAAGACCGACCTCGATGATGTTTCCGGTCAGGATCTTGGCCAGCGTGCCGAAAATGACGAGCATGGTCACGTTCGCGTAGCGGGTATTCTTCGGAAGGGTCGAGTCTAGGAGGACCCCTGGGATCATCAGGAGCCCCGCGAGGATCGGCCCCACTTCGGGGATGTAGTTCAGGAGGAACGTCAGGAAAAAATACAGTGGCCAAATAGGACACAACAGGAATTTAAGCAGGCCTCATGGGCGACGAATGCATCCATGTCCGTGCCCTCGCGGACTGGGCTCCGACGGCGTGATTCCATGGATACGCAATCCTACGGATGCGTTCCGCGCCGGGTGTCCTCCCAATGCCTCCCTGTATTTATGCGGTCGTGGCCGAGATGGACCGCGAGGCCGTGGATATGAACATGTTTACGACCCCCGAAGACCGGCCATCATGCCCGCGAAGAGAAAGCACACAAACGTCTTCAGCGTCATGTAGTCTTTGAACACTTTTGTGGCCGGCTCGCTGATCGGAAGTGGTTCGGCAATCCAAAATGCCAAATACAGAAAGAACAGAAACAGCGTCCCCAAGGTATCCTCGAGAATGGTCACAATATCTCCAGCAAGGTCCTTGCCGAATTGGGTCAACTCTCCGATGAAATTCCTCTTGATATTATCCAGCATATCCTTTGGAAATATGTGAGTCAGGCCCCTGTTGACGTCGTCGATCAGGTCTTCAACGCCCTTCTTGTAAGCATCGAAGTTGTCCTGTACGCCTGTGATTGACTGGCCGATCAGGATCACGAACGCGTACGCGATGAGGCCGACGATGCTGAAAGCGATCAGCATGGAGATGGCCCAAGACACCGTGCTCCGCTTGTCCACCTCTTGGGTGTCCCGAAACGTTGAAGTGACAAATCGTGCGGTGACCTCGAAATCCCTAGCGACCTCACCGCACTGTCCGTCACCGCGCGGTCTTGAGACCTTGGAGGCGCCAGTTGTCCGAGGCATCCTTGGAGAACGACCCGAGTTCTAAAACCCCGCACGGTCACCCCGAATGCCCGCTGACTCACCACACGGTGGGGTCACCGCACACTTTGTTGAGGGGCCCCAAACGCCTCCAGCGTGCCCTCGATCTCCTCCCCGAAGCCCTGCAGGCTCGGGAGCTCCTGGCAAAAGGTACCCATACCGCTACTCCCTGGACCTCTCCCGGTGTGCGTTTTGACCAGAATCTCAAACATAATCCAGCCGCGGCGAGAAAAGCTCGAGGATGAGCAGTTGTATCTGTACCTTTTCCTCCTCTGAGCAAGCTCCAGGACGGCCGGGTACTGCTTCTGCCGGTCCAGGAACAGCTGCAGCTCCACGCTGGTGCTCTCCGCGTCCCCCGCCAGCAGCTCGCCGGGCGCGCTGGGGAAGGCGTGGTAGGAGCACCCCTTGATGAGCCCGCCGACTGCCGAGGGGCCCATCTCGTCTCCCCCGAGCGTCATCGACCTTATCCTGACCCGCTGGCCCCACAGCCTCTGCGGGGGCCGGGAGAAGCAGGCAAGGGCGCCCCGCTCCCCCTCGCGCCTCCTTCCTTGCGCCTCCTTCCTCGCGCCTCCTGCTCCCGCTCCGCCCCTCCAGCTCCTGCTCCCCCTGCTCCAGGGCCATGCCTTCAGCCTTCTGCTCCTCCCCATCTTACCAGCCTCGAACTTATCCCTATCCCTAAGAATGGCACGCCAAAAGGCGATGACAATCTTAGGGATGCGCCCTCAAAAAAAAAGGAATCCCTAAGGTTGGCATCGTGATGAGGAGATGCCCAGCATGGGGATAGGGATATGATCCAGGCTGGTAACCATCCTGTTCCTCTTCCTCGCCTTCTTTCTGGGAGGGGGAATCACCTGACTCCCGCCCCTGCACCCCTCCCCCTTTACACCTTCACACAACACGCTTCTGCACGTCATTCGTCTCCTAGTCTTCTGCCCGCTTCGCGCTCCTCCTCCCCCCTCTCCCTTCCCCGTGGAAAGCACACGACGTCTTTGGAGAACAGGGAGTGGACAATATCTTGACACAACTTGTGCTTCTCTAGCAGGAGGGTTCTGCCCGTCGTGCCTTCTGCTGGCCGGACGGCGGCAAGAAAATTAGACGGGTCGCTGGCACTCGAAGTCAAACAAACACTGCTGAAAGCTGGACGCGGATGAATAGGCGAACGTGCCTTCCCTATGAAATGCTGGCCCTTGAGGATGCTTCTTTCGCTTGCTGGAGGTACTTGTTTGGGGGCGTGCGGGGTATTCGGCTGGTGCCTGGTTCGCAGGCGTCCGCGGGCGCCTCCAGAGCGCCTCGTGTTGGGTGGCTGTGCCGAAGTTTCGCCCGGTGCCGCCCGTCCGTGGGCGCTCGTGGGCGCCTTGTGCGCCAGGTGGGCGTGCCAATGCCAAGGTTTCGCCTGGTGACGGCCCGTGGACGCTTCGTGCGCTGCGCGCGTGTGTGTGTGTGTGTGTGTGTGTGTGTGCGTGTGTGTGTGTGTGTGTGTGTGTGTGTGCGTGCGTGCGTGTGTGTGTGTGTGTGTGTGTGTGCGTGCGTGCGTGTGTGTGTGTGTGTGTGTGTGCGTGTGTGCGTGTGTTGTTGTTGACGCTCTGACGGCACACCGCGACACGATGCTGACGTGGGAAAGCGCCAAGCTCATGTGTGCACTAACGTCAGCACGCCAGGCCGGGCGGGAGCCGTCGCGGAGGCCTGGGAAGACGCTCTCAGGAAATTTGTGCTGGCACCGCTCCGTCCCCGTAAGAGCAAGCCATTATCGAGACAAAGCTGGTCCAAGAAACGAGGCGAGTCTATTTCCCAAATCACGACTTTTTGAAGCTTATTTTGCGCTGCTCGGGGACAATGTTTGCATTCTGGGGTGCCGTGACCACCGCCTTTCGTGCTGAGGCTTCGCTGTGTGCGTGATCGTCCCCTGGGCTGTGGCTTTGCCGCCTGCTGCCTTCTGCGGACCCGTGATCTTCCCACTTCAATCTCAAGACCACCTGTCCTGTGGCGCCACTCGGCGCTCACAAAGGCGATCTTCTCCGTATTGTATGTAGCGTTTTAAGTCTTGGCGAATCTCAACGGTGACCCGTGAAGTTTCGCTCCGCATCAACAAACAACACACTGTGTGCGTGTGTGTGTGTTTGTGTGTGTGCGTGTGTGTGCGCCGAGCTGTCGCCTGGTGACCACGGCGCTTCGTGCGCTGCGTGCGTTCCGAGGTTTCGCCTGTGCCCCCCGTGGGCGCCTCGTGCGCTGAGCGGCAGCTTAGACTGCACTACATAGCAACTGCACTACAGAGCTTTCACGCCGTAGCGTTCACCACATGACTTACGCCACATAGATTGCACTACATCTGTTACACCGCGCAGCTTGCATCACACCGGCTGTACCACATAGTGCATCGGACAGCCGATGCCACGTAGCTTGCACGTCTTAGCTTGCACCGCATGGCTGTGCAGCTTGCAGACCGCACGCGCGCGTTAAACCACACAGCTTGCGCATGTCCGGTGGAATCACACATCTCTTGTTCTGTAGGGGCAAGCGAACTAAGAAGAAAAACCATTCTCGAACCTCGCCCCTTCCTTGCTGGGCGGTTCGCCGCCATCGCCGCCATCGCCGCCGTCTTCGCCGTCGCCCGCCTGGGCGTCGCCGCCGTCGTCTCTTCGTCGCCGTCCGTCGCCGTCTGCCGCCGCCGCTGTCGTCGCCGCCGTCGTCGCCGTCGCCGTCGCCGTCGCCGTTGTCGTCGTCGTCGTCGTCGTCGTCGTCGGGGTCGTTGCCGTCGTCGTCGCTGTCGTCGCCTCTGCCGTCGGCGTGGTCGTGGTCGTTTTCGTCGCCGTGGCCGTGAGCCTGGACAGGAAGCACTGGTCCAGCCGCGCGAGGAGGGGGCAGCACCCGGACGATGGCACGCACCGCCGCAGAAGCCTGGCGCGCGCCATGCCGCCGCCGCCGCCGTCGCACCCAAGACTTCGAGAATTGGGCTTCTCCAGTCCTGGCGTTTCTCCACCAGTTCCTCCTCCTCCTCCTCCTCCTCCTCCTCCTCCTCCTCCTCCCTCCCCCTCCTCCTCCTCCTCCACCAGTTCTCTAGTCTTTTCTCTCTTGGGCATGCCGTGGGCGTGAGCGCTCGGCGTTTCTCCACCAGCTCCTCCTCTGGGGGGGCTCCACGGGGGCCTGGTCGAGCCTGGCAGCCCCGCGCCCACCGAACGTGGAGCTGGGACGGAGCACTGCCCCCAGGGAGGGGGTCCCCGGTGTGGACCGCCCAGGGACAACTTTCGGCGGCCAGCGGGGGGGGGGAGTGAGAAGAGAGAAGGCCTTCTCAGAAGGCGGCGGGACTTCTCAAGAGGCCCTCGCGCCTCCTGAGAAGTTCCCGGTGTCTTCGGAGAAGGCTTAGGCAACTTCTAAGAATGCTGGGGGGCTTCCGAGCCTGCTGAGAAGGCCTTCTCCTTCTCACTTCCCCTCTGGGCTCGCCTTCGCCGATCCCATCGATCCAAATCCTGGGTTGTCGTCGCTGTGTTTTGGGTCGCCCCCACTTGGGGTGCAACGATCGTGGGGGGGTAGCTCTGGGGGGGGGGGGGGGAACACCGACCTGGAATGGGCTGCACATCGCCTATAGATCGGCGATGGGCAGCCCGATAGCGAATCCAAAATGCGGATGCTCCTGGGCGGAGCGGGCTGATGAGGCGCACATGCCGGCGATGAATGGGCAATCGGGGCTCGGTGAGTTCCCCTCGAAGCCTGCCCCCCCTGAACGTTGCCCCTGACGCTTTCGCGTGTTTTGAGACCGCTCTGGGCTACACGGGGGGGCCTGTTGAGGCCAGACAGGACTACCCCTGGGTGGGGCTTCTTTGCGCGCACCCCGAAGCAGTACCACCAGAGCCAGCATACGCTCAACACTGAGGAGAATCAGGCTCCGAATCGAGCCGCATCGTCGACGCTCGGCGATGTGGCGTGATCCTCCGACACCCTCGACTCGGACCCTGCTCCGGAGGCCTGAAGTCCCCCCCCCCAAGAAAAAGAGCCGGAAGCGAACACGCTGGAGCAGCGCGTAAGTGTCCGGGGTGCTCTCCAGGTAGATGCGGTTGTGCCCCCTGACGTGGCGGAAGCTCAAGGCAGCCCTCCTGTCGCGCGCTGTGACTGGGGCGAACATCAACACTGCTGTCCAGAGGCCTCGCTCCATCGCACATCTGTCAAGAGCATTGCAATATGCAAACGTTCGATCGATTCGAGGCCATCCCCAAGAGGGGGGGTGCGTGACGGACACGGATCTTCGATCCTAAGAGCCCGCTCCTGAGTTTGGAGTCGCGGCGTGGCCCATTGAAGGTGGATCGAGCATCAACACCGCGGTTCAGAAGCTCTCGTCGAGTTCTCAAGCTTTGTCGAGCAGCGAGGCGGTTCGAAGAGGCCTAGGTAGTGCCTTACCCAGCCAGGGTTCAATTCGGGGCCCATTCGGCGTGCGAGCCCATTCGGCCGCCGAGTGGGCAATCAAACGGGCTGAGAACCGATATGGTGGTAAAGTGGCCCGCTCGCGGACCGCACTTCTCTTGAGCATGGGTGCACTCGGCAGCCGGATGGGCTCGGACGCCGAACGGGCTCGGCATGAATCCCTGGGGCCGGAGGGCTCGTCTCAGATCTCCGACGACTGGAGTTCTGTGTGCGATGCCCATCCCGAACACTCCAATCCTTCCCCAGGAACAAATTTCTCGTCAATGCTAGTTTTTGTTTCCACAACCCTCCTGTAAGTTGGGTCCTCGTTTTGAATCCGCAGCGCCGCGCGTCTCCTTCCTCCTCCTTCCTCCTGCCCCCCTCCTCCCTCCTCTCATGTTCCTCCTCACTCTTCCCTTCGAGTCCTCCTCATCCTCCCTTTCCCACTTCCCATCACAACCGCCACCATCATCATCACCACCATCGTCATTATCATCTTAGTTTCGGCGCACCCCTGACACGTTCCGTGGCCCCATAGGGATCTCCGTCGAAAGCTCTAGCTAGTGGCAGGCCTCGCATGCAAATCCACCTCCTATCGGTGCACCCCTCACACGTTTCGTGGCCCCATAGGGAGCTCCACCGAAGGCCTCAGTAGCAGGCCTCGCATGCAGTTCCACCCTGATTTCGGTGCACCTTTCACACGTTTCGCGGCACCATAGGGAGCTCCACCGAAGGCTCCAGTAGCAAGGTTCGCATGCGTACCTGGGTCCATGTCGGTGCACTCCTTACACGCTTCGTGGCCCCATAGGGAGCTCCACGGAAAGCTGTGATGGCAGGGTTCGCGTGCGTACCCGGGTCCATTTCGGCACACCCCTCGCACGTTTCGCGGCCCCATTGAGAGCTCCACCGAAGGCTTCAGTGGCAGGGTTCGCACTTGTACACGGGTCCATCCCGGCACACCCCTCACACGCTCCGTGGCACCATAGGGAACTCCACCGAGATCCTTCAGTGCGTCCGTGCGCATTGAACCTTCCTGCGACTTGTCGCCATTCGTGTATAATGGGTTGGGTTTTTCGCCAGGGTATGTTTTCTTCTCAGCGGTTTGAGATCGACGCCCTGAAGCAACAAATCGTGACAGACCTCCGCGGCGAATGTGGCACAACATGGCGCAGCCATGGTCCGACCACTTCCCCAGGGCCCGACCCCCCTCCCCATGGCGGATTTTTCGCCCTGGGTACTGTCGGACCCATGACAGAAGATCAGCCTTCAAGAGCATGAGACCCTCCGCAGGCCAAAACATATAGAACACCAAAGGGTACCCTCCCTACGATGCACAAGAACACCCAACACGTACGAAGGACCTTCGGGCTCCTTCCCCAGACCGGCCTCGACCCTCCACCTCCGCCCGACCGTAGTCTTTCGATCACGAATCCTGGAGCGGCTGCGACAGATCAGCACCGTCGCCTTGTCGAAGAGCACGACGGCCAGCTCCTCCACGCGGTCGGCGAAGGCCAGGATGGGGATGGCGAAAAAAAATGCCCAGATCAGGGGGATCAACAGCGAGCGCAGCTTGTCGAGAAGGAGCAGGAAGGCCTGCCGAGGTTTGCCCTCTCCCCTCGAGGATCGAGGGGAGTGGGCCGAACATGCCTGACGCGTGGCTGAGAGACCTCCAGCCCATTCTCAGTCTGCAGGGACCACGAAGGACCTCCAGGCCCATCGGAGTGAGGATACAGGGGCGTAGCTGCGTAAGACTTCCTGTTGCCAGTGCAGCCTCGGCGTTTCGCGGTAACATCTCGAAGGCGATGCCTGGAACAGGCAGTGTGACACTCCACCTCCTTAGAAGCCGCTGTGCGACGGCTGGCCCAGACTGGTGGAACGGAGAGAGGGAGGGATGGATGGACCCTCAGGTGCAAGCGTTGCAACATATCGCCACGGCCAGTTTTTCTTTACGTTCGGCCTCTCAAAGACGCTTCCCGGCCCCTGGGCCGTCAGCAAACGACTCGGGATGGAGAAGTTGGCCCCGGGAAAGTGGTCGACATCCCTGGGGTCCAACGTCGGAGTGTATGGGGAGGGTGGGCGGGAGGAGCGTGGAGAAGGAGGCGATTGAGAAGGAAGAGGACGAGGACGACGGGGATGACGAGAGGGGAACGCTGGAGAAAGCGAGGCCGGGCTGATGAGAAACGGGGCAGGAAGAGAGCATGGGGGGGGGAGAGGATGCGGAGGAGGACGATGGAAAGGAGGGGGGACAGTACGGAAGCGAAGCGAACGGAACTGTGGAGGAGAGGGGAGGCCGAGAGGGGAGTTTACGATGATTATTCTGAGCATACTAGTTATGTTGATGCTGCTGCTGCTGATGTTACTGATGGTGTTACTGATGATGATGATGATGCTGCTGCTGCTGCTGCTGCTGCTGATGATGATGATGATGATGAGTGTGATGGTGATGGTGATGGTGATGGTGATGGTGATGGTGATGATGCTCATGTTGTTGTTGTTATTGGTGGTGCTTGTGGTGTTGTGTGTAGTTGTTGGTGGTGTTGTTGTTGTGGTTGTGGTTGTTATTGTTCATGTTGTTGTGGTTGTTGATTGCAATGCTGTGAGCGTGTTTTTGTTTGCAATGCTGCTGAAGATAATGACGAACCCGCTGATGATAATGATTATGATGGTGATGAAGATGGGGATGATGGGGATGATGATGAGGACGACGCTGATGATGATGCTGATGATTCTGATGTTGCTGGTGAATCGGATGAGGTTGTTGATGAGGATGAGGATGGTGAGGATGAGGACGCATGAGAGCATGATGATGATGATGATGATGAGGGTGAGGGTGAGGGTGATGATGAGGATGACAATGACGATGATTGTAATGATGATGTTGCTGATGGTGATATGGAGAATGCTGCTGGAACTGAATGATGTTAATTGTGCTGCTGATGGTGAATCTGATGATGTGCATGAGGATGCTGATCATGACGATGATGATGGTGATGATGATGCTGATGATGGAAATGATGGTGATGCTGCTGCTGCTGATGATGATGATGATCATGATGGTGATGATGATGATGATGATTCTGCTGGTGACGGCCTCGGTCACCACGACGAGCACGAAGAGCGCAAAAGCGGTGTCCCTTTGGAAGTCAGTCAGCGACGACGGCATCGCGGCCCGCAGGGCGGGCCACCGGGCATCGGGACGCCCCCACGCTCGAGACAAAACCTCCCTCGTCGTCGTCGTCGTCGTCGCCACGCCACCTCGCCTTCGAGCGCTGCTCCCGCTTCTGTCCACTGTCCCCTCCTCGCCCTCCTTCGCCACCTCGTCCTCGTCCTTGTCGTCCTTGTTGTCGTCGTCCTCCTCCTCCTTTTTCCTCTCCTCCTCCTCCTCCTCCTTTTCCCCGTCTACCCATTGACTTGCTCCCGTCTCCTCCACTTCCTCGAATTCCTTCCTCCCTCCTCGTGCCCCTCCTCGTCCTCGTCCTCGTCCTCCTCCTCTCCCCCGTCCACCTATTCAACTCACTGCCCCTGATATTAATACGCATGCAAAAATCAAGTTCGGGGTCCTGGGGGACAATGAACGTTTTCCAGAGATCTCAACATAATGATGAACATGACGACGATGATGCTGATACAAATGATCCGGGATGCATCACAAGAACCGAAGAAAACTCTTCGGTTTCCTTCGGGCATCCATCGGGTGCATTCGGACATCCTAAAGACTTTGTTTGGACATCCGTAAGACTCCTTCGGGAATCCTCAAGATGCCTTAGGACATCCGGAAGATTCGTTTGGACATCTGGAAGATTCAGCAGAAAATCCATGGGACGTTTTTGGGAACGCAGAAAAGTCTCAAATAAGGCAATTCGATCCCAAACGAAATCTATAAGATGCGTTATAACATCCTTCCGAATCGTTCAGAACGCCCAATCGAATTGTGGGGGATGCACAGGTTTCATGACGACATCCACCGGGATGTTTTAGGGTATCGACGGGAAGCCGATGGCAATCAATTTGGATTCTTTGGAAATCCAGTGGCGTCGTTGGCCTCCATGGGATCCCGTAAAATCGACCCAATGGATATGTTAGAAACCAGCCGATCCCTGTAGGACATCTGAAGGAATCCTTTGGACATCCGTCGGGCCCCTTCGGCAATCCATGGGTTTCTTTATGCACTGCATGGGTCCTTCGGGCATCCACAAGATGCCATAATCAATCCGTAGGACCCCTTTGGACACCCATCGGCTCCCAAACAAAATCCATACGATTCCGTTGGGCAGCCATCGGATCCTGGAAGGAATCTATAAGCACCCTTCGGACATCCTTAAGATCCCATTGGAATTCAATAGGACACCCCACAACATCCACTGGATCCCTTCGGACAGCCATCGGAACCTTCAGGAAACCCCTCGGATTTCTCAGGAGATCCATGTGCTTCCTGAAGACAACACAGGGCTGCTGTGGGAGATCTACAAACATCCGATGTGAATCCATTGGGACTCCCAAGACATCCAAGAATCCCACCAACCCTCTGCGCGTCGGTGGTTTAGAGCGTTTCCTCTTCCACCCCTCCTTCTTCCCCTTCGGGGAGGGGTTTACCCCTCCCCCTTCCCCCATCCCCACTGACCTGGACAAGGGGGGGCCGCGGGTAGTTAGAGCGTCCACGAAAGACCCCTGGGAGGGCTAAATTTCGACACTCCTCACGAGGATCGTGCCCCCCAGGGGGGCGACGCTAAAAAATGTTTCCCCCTTTCTGCGATCGATGTCCTCCAAGAGGGCCTCAAGAGACGTCTCGGACTCTCCTCTTGCGCCCTGCGCGCGGGAGGGCGGAGCGCCGCCCGCCCGCCCGCGAGGCCCAATAGCCCACCAAAACGTTCGAAGATACCTCCAAGACGCCACCAGGGAAGAGGAAGAGGCGGAGGAGGAGGAGGAGGAGGAGGAGGAGGAGGAGGAAGGGAGGAGGAGGAGAAGGCGGAGGAGAAGGAGGGAGAGGAGCTGCCGATCATCGGCGCTCTTCGTTCGAGTGCCTGGTGTGATGGGCAGGTGGGGATATTTTTTTTTTCGGCCGCAGGCGGAAGCGCCAGCGGCAGGCGGTCACGGTCGGGCTGCGGCCGCGACGAGGGGGCGGGCGCGTCTGGTGGGGATACGCGAAGCGTCAAGAATTCCTTCGGGAAATCCATAGCATCCCTTGGGGGACGCACAAGCTACCGTAAGAAATCGATCGGGTTCCTTGGGACATCAATGGGATGCCTCAAGAAATCCACCGGATTCCTTTGGAAATCATGTGGGTGCGTTGGACAGTGGCATGGAATGTGCTGGACATCGATCGAAATCCATGTGGAATCCATCGGGTTCCTTACGGACATCGGGTTCCATCGGGAAACCAGTGGGATCATTCAGGCGCCCACCGGGTTCCTTAGGACATCCACGGGATCCTTCTGGAAACCGAAAGGGTTCTTTAGAAAACACGTCAGATCCCGAAGGACATTAATCGGACACCTTTGGGGTCCATCGGGTCCCTTAGAACATCCGTAGGAGGAGGAGGAGGAAGAGGAGGAGGAGTATATGGAGGACGAGGAGGAGGTGGAGGAGACCCAGGACCAGTTTTCCAACGAAACACTTGGACCTGATACCTTGGGCGTGTCATGGGTAAAACTTATTATTTTCAACCGTTCTCTATGGCACATGTGCACGAGACCATCGGGGTTCTTTCGCGGGTTGTTCTTCTTTCTCTCTCTATACATATTTATATGTACGCGTATATATATATATATATATATATATATATTATATATATATATATATCCATACATGCATATATCGGTATGCATGTATGTATTTATATATATAATTACATATACATAATATATATATATATAGATATAAATATATAGGCGCGCAAGGAGGAGGAAGAGGAGGAATCTATTCCTTAGGACACCCATCACATGCACAACGTATTTTTCGAATTCCATATGGCTTCACTGCGGAAGTGCACAGGATGTCTTAAAACATCGGTGGGGTTTTGGAGGAAACCCATGGGAATCCTTAAGCCATCCATAGGAGTTCTTAGGGAATCCATAGGATGCCATCTATAGGACCCCTTGGGCAATCATCGGGCTCCTCCGGACATGCAGAAGACCATCGGTTTCCGTCGGACATCCACCGGTTTTCTTCGGAAACCAATTACGCCACTCAGGCACAAGATGTCCCGGGGAATCAAACATCATCCTGGAGAAAACCATATGATTCAATTGCGCATGTTGACGATTTCCTGCAAAATCCATAATAGTTCCTCTGAATCTCATACGATTCCTCAGGCAACCCTTCCGACCCCTTAGGCAATATATAGGAATCCGCTTCAGAAATCCATCGGGTTCCGTTCGGGATCCGTAGGATTCCTTTGGAAATCCAATGGCTTCCTTTGGAAATGCACAGTGTGCCTTAGGATATCTATAAGATCCCTTTGAAATTCCATCGGGTTTCTTTGGGAACCCATCGGGACCCTTCGGACCCCCATAGGAATTCGCATGCAACCCATCGGATCCCACACGGGATCCACTGGATCCCTTAGGGATTCCATAGAAACCCTTAGGGCATCAATCGGATTCCTTAGGAGATTCACGAGCTTCCTTCGGAAATTCATTGGATTGGATGCCTCAGAGGATCCATCAGATTCCTTAGACAATCCATAGGATGCCTGAGGACATCCGTGGGGGCCATCAGGAAATCCATCAGGCTCCTTAGGGAAATCCTAAGCTTCCTTCGGACATGCGTAGGGTTCATAAAGCAACCCATCGTATAAATCCTAAGGGATCCTATGGCTTCCTTTGAACACATCGACTAAACACGCATGCTAACTTCAAAATCGAATCGGTCACCGTTAAGGGTTCATTCAAATATCCGGGCCAACATGTGCATTTCTTCGAGTAAGGACAATGCAAAATTCGCCACGCGCGAGTCCGCACGCGCGCGCGCGATCGGGTGACCCACGCGCGCGCGGGTCACCCGAGATCCCGTTGGTCACCGTGAAGGGACCACGTGAGTTTCCAAACCACCACGGCGACGTCTCCATTGTGGCAAATACAAAACTTGCCACGCGCGCGTCCGCGCGCGCGCGTGGGCATATTTGCATTGCCCCCAAGGGGAAATCGCCATGTTTGCTTGGGGACGAAAATGAACCCTTGACGGTGGTTGATTGGACTTTGAAGTTAACATGCGTTTGTTTTCATGATGTTCTGAAACTAGTAACATGCACATGTTGGTTTGGAAATAAAAGGGGCGGTGACCGATTGGATTGTGAAGTTCACGTGGGTTTTCCAACATTTCGAAGAAACCCATCGGATTCTCTAGGGGTGATCCTATGGATGTCCTGATGATTCCGACGTAGTTCCTAAGACCTCCGATGCATGTCCTAAGGAACCCGATGGATTGCCGGCCGAATCTTATATCATCCCTTACGCACCCTATGGATTTCAAACGGGATGCTGTGGGTGTCCGAAGGAACCCTGTGAATTTCCAAAGGGACCGGATGAATTCTGTTAGGGACCCGATGGAATTTCATTGGGACCACATGGGATTTCTAAGGGATCCTGTGGATGTCCGTGCATCCTGTGGATTTCCGGGGGAATCCTGCACATTTCCTGCGGAATCTTATGCTTCTTCCAACGGAATCCCATACAGCTTTTTCTAAGGAGCCCGATGGATGTCCAAAAGGATCCCATGGATTTCTCGAGGGATCCGATGCCTTTCCTAAGGCATCCTACGGATTTGACACAAGGATTCCGGTGCATCGCCGAAGGAACCCTATGGATTTACAAAAGGATCCCATGGATTTCCAGAAAGGGGCCCTGTGGATTTCCTACGGAATGCGATGGGTGTCCCTGGGATTTGTATATATGCCGTCAGGAATCAAATTGGGTTCCAAAGGGATCCCACGGGTTCCCTGGAGAAGCCGATGGATTTCCGAAGGAATCCTCACTATTCCTGACGGTTTCCGATAGATTGCTTCAAGTATCCGATGGATGTCCTAAGGAATCCATCGGGTTTCCTACGGAACCCTCTGTCTCTAGATGTCCGACGGGGTCCCATTGATTTCGGGGGGGGAAAAGAACGGTCGATTTCCAATCGAAGCGTATGGCTTCCCTACGGAAGCCGACGGAGGTCCTCAGGAATCCTTTGGAAAGCCACGGGGATCCGATGGAATCCCGAAGCAATCTCATGCATGTCCTAAGTAACCCTGGGGTTTTCCAGAGAATCCAATGGACCTCCTCTTTCTGGGAAAACAACCGTATGGATTTCCGAAAGAATCCAATGGATTTCCTCTGGGATACGATGGGTTGCCTAAAACATCGTATGGACGTCCTACGGAATACCCTGGATGTCCTAAGGAATATGTATGGATGCCCTAAGGTGTCCAATGGAATTCTTAAAAGGGGTCCTGATGTTTCGATTCCTTTGGACATGAAGAGATTCGGAAGGAATTTCATTGGAATTGTGAAGAAATCCATCGTCACCTTTGGGGCATTTATCGGGCCCCTTAGGATATCAATCGGATTCCTTCGGCAATCCATCGGATTCCTTGCAACATCCATCGGGTGTTTGGAAGTTCGTAGGATCCCTTTTGAATCCATTGGATTTCGTTGGAAGTCAATTTGGATCCTCAGGCAATGCGCAAGATTCCTTTGGAAATCCATAGGACGCCTCAAGACATCTACGCGAACCCTTGGGACATCCATCGCATTTCCTTTGAACATCCATCGGGACCCTTCGGGCATCCACCGGTTTGTTTAGGCAATGCACAGATCCTTGAAGAAATACACCGGATTTCTTAGAACAACCGAAAAGCATTTGGACATCCATCGGATTCTTTTGGAAAATCATAAGATTCCGGAGGACATGCAACATATTCCTAAGCCAGCCCAACAGGATTCCTTCGGAAATCACGAAGATTTCTTAGGACATCCAGAAGATTCCTTCGGAAAATCCATCGGGCTCCATACGCAATCCATATAGATTCCTAACACCATCCATGTGCTTCTTCCGAACATCCATGGGATCCCTTATGACATTCATCGGCTTCCTGCGAAATTGCAAAGGAATCCTTAGGGCATCCATCGGACTCCTTAGGACATATAGATATATACACGTATCCTTAGGACATCAATGGGATTCCGGAAAGAACAATAGGATTTCCTGAACATCCATTGGCCTTCTCAAGGGATGCACAGGATTCCTTGGGAAATCCATCAGACTGTTTAGGAAATCGATCGGGCCCCTTACGAAGGTCATGAGACCCTTTAGGACATCAATAGGGTCCCTTTTGGAAAACCATATGGGGTCATAAAGACATATGTAGTACTCCTAAGGGCATCCATCTAAATCCTCAGGGCAATCCATACGGATCCTTAGGAACCATTGCTATTCAACATCAGATGATATTAACTTCGATTCGCAACTATCCCGCGCGATGATCAAGTTAGGCCTTGCCGCCTCTCTTCCATGACCAAATCTGTATTGGCCGAGATTATACAACTCCCAGGGGTAGGGAGGGGTAAGCTTTAATTTCCGGGGCGCTCGGTTACTCGTTCCCCTTCTTTCCTTTTCCCCGAATTCCTCCTCCTCTTCTTCCTAATCTCCTCCCCTTCCTCCCTGCTCCTCTTCCTTCTTCATCGTGTCCTCCTCCTTTGCCCTTTCCTCATCTTTCCCCCCATTCCCCCCTTGCAGCATCACGAGGAAGATAAGGGGAAGGAAGAAAGGAATGCTGAGGATCTGCACACGGGACCGGCGAAGGAAGGGGAGGTTGGGAAGCGGGGAAGGGGGAGGAGGATGAGGACGAGGAGGAGAAGAGCAGATGAGGAGGCGAAGAAGGATGAGGAGGAGGAGGGTTTGGGGTGGAGGAGGGCAAGCATGAGGACCTGGAGGACCATGGCTAGCAGCAGCAGCAGCGAGGAGGGATGGCGCCGCGTGGGCATGGGAGAACTTCGAATCGAGATATAGGGAACATGGCAACGAAAATGGCTGCTGGGCACTCGCACAGCAACACACTGGCTCGGAACCGCAAAAATAAACTCGCCTGAACAAAGAATTGCCGTACTCGTCGATCCGGTCGTCCATGACCTGAAGCACGGCGCTCTCTTCCGCGGGCGTGGCACCGAACGCCGATCTCGCTGGGCGGCGCGTGCCCCGCACTTGCCGGGTGGGGCCGGACAAGGCGGCGGGCGGCTGAAGTGCCAGTCGCATGGGTCTCCCTGGGCAGCCGTGCCCACGTCAAGAGACCCTGGGCATGCCTTCCATAAACTGTCGGAGGTCCGCGCGGATTTCTTGGATTCTTGCAGGGCCCCATCCCTGGCGTGCGGAGCGCGCCATGGGCAGCGCCAGAGGCGCCGCCAGGGCGGGGTGGAACGTAGATCCGACAAATCCCTGGGCATCCAGCCTCGCGCCTTCGAGAACTGATGGCTGCATCCCGCGGCCACGAGGCTCTCATGGGTGTCCTGCCTCTCGAGGGTGTGGTGTCAACCCTCCACCTGCGCAGGTCGGGTTTCCCTCCCTGGCCCTTTCCCTACCGCCCCTCCTCCCCCCACCCCCTCCCCTCCCCTTTCTTGACCGCCCACCCGCTCTTCCGTCCCCTCCCCCTGCCCCCACTCACCTGCCCCATTTCTTATGCTTCGCCCTCCCATCACTATTCCCCGCCTCCCCTCCCCCTGTAAACGGAGGGCACAGATCAATTAACCGATCGACCCACGAATGACCGGCAAAGAAGCGACTGGCATGATGGCTCACTGCGATCGCGTGAACCAATGTTTGGAGGGAGCGCGATCCACTGTCGCTGGGCTGAACACATTCTGTAAATAGGACGGTGGTCAGAAACCACGCCCCCCCGCCCCTCTGAAAACATCGTATAGGGCAGTTTTTTGCATACATCTGATTTTTTAACCTATGATATTTAATACATGGTTAATGCATGAATGAATTTATGCATGAACTCATCGTTGTTTTTGATACGAAATCCATCCATTTGTAATACATGATCCGCACGCGGAGCATGTATAAAAACGGCACTGTACGGGGGCGGGTCCGAAACCAGGGCCCCCCCAACAAACCACCCCCGCGCAAAGAATCGGGGGGCCCAGGCCGCCCCCCCCGTGGAGAATCATTCGGAGGGGTCTCGACCCCACCCCTTCCCCGGGGGTAACATTCTTCGGGAAGGTCCAGAACACCCCCTGGGCACCGACGACGAAGACGACGACGTCGCCGCCAACGCCAGCAACGACGCCGACGCCGACGCCGACACCGACGCCAGCGCCGAGGCCGACGCCGACGACGACGAAGAGGACGACGCTGACGACGACGATAAGGACGACGACGACGGACGGACGACGACAACGACGACGACGACGATAAGTACGACGAGGAAGCCCGCGACGACGCCGATGACGTCAGCGGCGGCTGCGACCAACCTGTGGCGGGCCCCCGCGCCAGACGCTGGCTCCGATAGAATGTCCTGTCCAGATCTAACGGGATCCCGTTCGGATCTGCCCCGCCTCGAAGCCAATCCTACTGGTGCTGGATCGACTTTAAGAAGAATGTCATAGAGCTGGGTCCAGCTCTAGTCGTACTCTACTGAAGCTCGGCGCAGCTCTGATCTGACTATACAAAAAAAGCTCGGCCCAGCTCTGATACAATCCTGCAACTCGGGCTGGGTCCACCTCTAGTCGGATCTCCTGATCAAACTTAGATGTAATGCTGCAAAAGCCTGGTCCGGCCCATCTCTTCTAGGTATGGTGGGATCATACTAAAGCTCAAGTCAGCTCCAACAAAATCCCACGACAATTGGACCCCGCTCCAATACACTCTATTTTTTCTCTACAAGACGTCCAACTCTAGTAGGACCCTGATATGCTCGAATCCAGCTCTGGAAGTCGGACCGTCCGAAGGGTCGACCCAAGTCTAATTGAATCCCACAGCAGATGGATCAACTCTAACAAAACATGTAGGGCTGGATCCCCTGTTTAATCGAATCCTACGCAGGATAAATCCAGTTCTGACAGAATCCTGCTAGGGGCCCATCGAACTCGAAAGGCATTATTCGAGTGGTCGACCAGCTTGCCCAGAACTTACGAGTATAATCCAGCGATGGCTGGGTACAACTCTAGGAAGACTGTTTTACGGCTCGATCCCACTCTAATTGTTACAACCGTAATTGAATAATTGAACGGCTCGATCCAGCCATAATCAAATATTACGACGGCCGGACCCAGCAATATTTGTAATCAAATAAAGACTGGGTCCATGTCCGATACCAATATTTCTAAGATCTAGATCCAACACACATGCACAATCTCAATACGATTGGACCCATCTCTGATACAATAAAATGGCTGGGTATCGGTCCATCTGGAATCCTGCTAAAGCTGGGCCGATACCTGGTCCAGCTTTTATGTGATCCTACTATCTCTAAATCCAGCTTTCACCGCATCCTACTTGGCAGTAGAACTCGGGGTCTCGCAGAATCCCATTCACGCTGGATCCAGCTCCAATGAATCCTCATAGGCCTCGACCCAGCTCGGATAGATTCTAACAGCGCCTGGGTCGGGCTCTATGAGAAGCATACAGGGGCTGGATCCAGGACTTATGGGCTCCCACTAAAACTAAACCCAACATTGAATCACAATCGCTAGAGGGCTGAATACAGCCATGATAGAATCTTACTTCGGTGGATCCATCGTTGCTGAACTTCTGGTAGGGTCCGAACCAGCTTTAACCGCATCCCACTAGGGCTCAATCGTTTTCGTCTTCGACGTCGTTGTAGGCGTCCTCGTCGTCATCGTCGTCGTTGTGGTGATCTTCGTCGTGGTCTCGTCGTCGTCGTCGGCGGCTTCAGCATCGGCGTCGTCGTCATCGGCGCTGGCGTCGTCTTTGTGGTCGTCGTCCGTCGTTGTCGTCGTCGCCGTCGCTGCCGTCGCTGCCGTCGTCGTCGTCGTCGTCTTCGTCTTCGTCGTCGTCGTCGCCGCCGTCATCGTCGTCCTCGTCCTCGTCCTCGTCGTCGTCGTGGTCGCCATTGCCCGGGGGGGGGAAGTCTGGACCTCTCGGATAGTTTTCTGGGGGGGGGGTCTGGTCCCCTCCGAATAATTTTCTCGGGAGGGGAGGAGGGGTGCTGGACCCCCCCCCTCCCCCCTTTGTTTTTTGGGCGTTGGGGTGACCCCCCCCCAGCCAACAGCGGAAGAAAGCTATATTTCAAATCTTGGAACGGAGAACGACAAAAAAAATAGCTTTCGGAAGTCCGCCAGGACTTCTTGTATCGGCACTGGTCCAGGGATCCCTCCCTGGGGCGCAGAGCGCGCCATGGGCGGAGCCGCAAGCGACGCCAGGGGGGGCCAGCTCCGACCCAAGGAATCGGCGCGGGGTTCCGACAGACTATGCTTACACAGTTGGTCCTCGTCGAGCGACCGCGCGAAGACCATCTTTGACGTGCAACCGCCTGCCCTCCGCCGCCGAGGGATCCTCGTCGCCTGGCGTGCGGGTCCTGGCTCGGGTCTCCAGCGGCCGTTCGGGACGATCCGGGCGCCCCCGACACGCCCCCGGCGAGGAGCGGCTGCCCGAGAGCACCCCCGAGGCTGGGAAGCCGCCGAGGCCGCGCGGAAGCGCCCGAAAACCTCGAGCCTCGATGTCGGATCGGCTTGCCACCTGCCAGCCCACCGTCGCCTGCCCTCCCCCACGCCCCTCGCCGCCACCGAGGCCGCGGCGTCGCCACCGCCGCCTCAGCGGCGGGAGGGGGGGGTAGGATAAGGGAGGGGAGGAATAAGGAGGGCGGAGGGATAGGAGGGGGAGAGAGGAGGGAGAGGAGGAGGGGAGGAGGAGGGGAGGAGGAGGAGGAGGAGGAGGAGGAGAGGAGAAGGAAGGAGGAGGAGGAGGAGGAGAGGAGAGAGGGAGAGGGAGGAGTAGAGGCAGAGGAGAGGAGAAGGTAGAGCAGGAGGGAGAGAGGGGGAGGAGACGGATGAGGGAGGAGGGAGAGGAGAGGAGGAGAGTAGGAGGCGGAGGCGGAGGCGGAGGCTGGAGGAGGAGGAGGAGGAGGAGGAGGGAGGAGAGTGGAGGAGGAGTGGAGGAGCAGGAGAGGAGGAGGAGGAGGAGGAGGAGGAGGAGGAGAGGAGGAGGAGGAGGAGGAGGAGAGGAGGAGGAGGAGGAGGAGGAGGAGGGGGAGGAGGAGGAGGGAGGAGAGGAGGAGGAGGAGGAGGAGCAGAGGAGAGGAGCAGGAGGAGGAGGAGGAGTAGGAGGAGGCCACGCCCTTCGCCGCAACCGACGCTGCCGTCTGGGACGGAATGCCGCCCGGGGCCGCGGCCTCGTGGAGCCTCCAGGCCAGGTCCTCCGGGAAGTCGAACCTGCTGGCGCCGCGCCGCGCCCCTCCTCCCGGGAGGGCAGCCCTCTGGTGACCCCACCGGGGAGGAGGAGGAGGAGGAGGAGGAGGAGGAGGAGGAGGAGGAGGAGGAGGGGGAGGAGGAGCAGGAGGAGGAGGAGGAGGAGGAGGAGGAGGAGTCCAAGTGCGCTGGCCCGTAAGCCCTCCGGGGTGATTGGCGCTTGCAGCGGGGGGGGCCTGCCCTGAGATGCCCCCCCCCCCCCCCTTGCACTGCGCAGGTCGGCGGCGAGCCCCGGGGGGGAGTGAGACGGGGCGGGCCTTCTCAGAAGGTACAGAAGTCCCCATGCCTTCTGAGAGGTGTTCTACGTCTTCCCCGCAGGCACACCAAACTCCTCAGAAGGTGCGCAAGCCTCTGAGAGGTCCCGCCGCCTCCTGAGAAGGCCTTCTTCTTCTTACTTCCCCCTCGCCCGCCGCCGATAGACGAGAGGACCGCATCATGAGGAGACCACGCGGGGGGACCAAACGGAGGGACCATGCGGCGGGCACCTCGAGCCTTGCAAACTGCCAGTGGCCCCCCGCGCCCCCTCACTCTGACCCGCAACTGCAATGGAGACACATGCTCCCTCATGCCAGGGCCTTGGACGCCCATGTCAAGGCTCTTCGAGCGGGGCTGGCCATCGGAAGTGGTTGATGATGGACCGAAGATGGCCGAAGTTGCAAGGATGCAAGGGTGCCCTGGGGAAGTCGCTCATCCTTACTGTCAGTGTCGACTGCATACAGTTCGCGGCTAGAGTCGAGTTTGATGTGAGAGGACACGCGAGAGGACATCAGAACCTTCCGAAGGTCGCGTCGCCACAGGAATGTAGAAGGCGTGGGTCGCGCAACACAGAACACAAGGGTGCCCTTGGTTTGGCAGGGTCGGCCTACTAATCAAACGCGACTGTGTATGCTCCGATCGCCGAGCGGGCTGCACAGAGAGCACTGGGCGCCCGCACACGCGAAGAGAAACACATATAGAGAGAGAGAGAGACAGAACGGCAACGATCCTTCTGAAGTGCCCAGGCCATGCCTGGGGAAAACCAGCTGTACACATATAACAATAGGGTGAGGGCACAACAGCACAACCCAGCAGGTGCATTGACGTGCTCGTCGAGCTGCAGGTCAACACATCAGACGGAACGGCGCGCCCAGTGGGCCCCAGCGCCGACCCGAGGAATTCGCGCGGATCTCCGAGCTTTTATGTTTATGCCATTATCTGTTCCCCTCTGGTCGGGCCCGCGTAGAAGGCCTTGGCGCCCTGGTTGCCAGCAGCGCTCTCCCAGCAGAGCCTGCTGCACCCGCGCCGCACGGCGAAGTCGGCTACGGCGCCGAGGAGCAGGGCCCCGAGGCCGCCGCCCCCGCGTCGCTCGGCGACGAGCAGGCCCTGCAGGTACAGCGCCGGGCCCGAGAACGTCTGGCACAGAGGCTGCACGGTGGCCATCACCACCACGGCCTCGCCTCGGCATGCCACCAACGCTTCAGAGTCGCCAGCGCGAGAGGCCGCAGTGCTGGCGGGCAGGTCGGCCCGCACCTCGTGGCCCTCGCCGCACGCGACGGCCAGGTGGCGGACGAACGAGAAGATGGCCGCTACATCGGCAAGGCTCGCGCTCCTTATGGCGCACGTGGTGCCGTCCCGTAGTGCGTGCTTGCGTTCGCAGGCGAGCGGCACGGCGGCTGCTCGCGCGCTGTGACCGCTGCTCTCGCGCTGTTCTCCGAGCCAGAGCGCCGCCGCGGTGACGGCTGCCGCCGAGGTCGCCAAAGCGACCCGCGCGCGCGCGTGCCACCCTCTGGCAGAACGGACCCAAACGCGGGCCACAACGCGACACGAACACATGGCGCCGCGGAACGCACAGCGGACGTCACGAGCTTGAGCCAAAATGGCTACATCGTAGGAACAGAATTAGGTGGCGACGTCCGAATGCTACCCGGAACAACTATCGGTTCTCTGATATCGATGGGAGGCGGGGTGAGGTTCGGACTCCGCAGCGTGCTCGACGGCGTCGGAACCACGGCGGCCGCCCATCGAGACGCCTGGATCGTTGCTCGGCGAGGATCGGGTTCGGACTCTGCCGCCGAAGAGCGAGCAGCAGCAGGAGGAGGCGGAGGAGGAGCAGCAGGGGAGGAGCGGCAGACACACCGGGGGAGGGGCGAGGGGGGCGGCCTTCTGAGAAGGCGGGGGAGGGCCTCCAAGGACGCCGGTGGCTCCTTAGAAGCCTCCCCCCCCCGAGTTTCCAAGAGGCCTCCCTGGAAGCATCCCGGCGCTGCTGAGAAGGCCCCTGCCTCAGGAAACGGCCCCCGCCAGTCTCCGCGACCATTGGCCTAAAGACGGCTCCTAGACACGGAGACTGACGAACCACCTCTGGATGTCCCCAGACATCCGGCTGCTCCAATGATTTCGATGCGTGACCCGGAAGTCTCGACCACTTCCCTAGAGCCATCTATTCGTCCTGAATCATTTTTTAACGGTCCCTGCGCCCGTTGACGGCCCCCAGGGGCCGAAAACGGCCCCAAACTGCCCGCTCAAATTTGTTTTCGGAGAGTCTGATCTCTAGGTCTCTCCTCTGCGCGGATGTCGGGCCATAGCCCTAGCCTCTGTCAGGGCACTCTCGGGGCCCTCGCGGCGAGGCGCAGCCTGAAAGCACCCCGAGCCTGGAGAGCATCGGGGAAGCCGATGACAACGTCCGAGGAGATCGCACAGGGACCTCCAGACCTCCTCTTCCTCCCGTCGGGCGCTGGCATTAGGCCGTGCACGAACTCTCCCCTCTCCATCCTTATCCGCTCCTCGCCCCTCCCCCTACCACCACCGCCTCCCTCTCGCCCTCCACCACCCCCTCCACCCTCCTAGCCCCTAGCCTCCCCTCTACCTCCCTGCCCTGCGGCATCTGTCCAGACGCTGATAGACCAGGACGCTGGCGCGCCCAAGAGAACGGGTGCAGCATGCCGAGCCACTCCCTCTGGAGTGAGTAACACCCTCTTCTTTGTTTGGCACTCCTCCCTCCTTTTCTTCGTCTTCTCCTCTGGCGCTTCGCAATGTGTGTTGTCCTGTCCCCTCGTCAGGTTGCTACGTGTGCACCCCCCCCACTGCCCACGCGTCCTTCTCGATGCTTGGCTGTGCTTCTTTGCTTGCTAGCTAACAGAACACCCTTTAATGTGAACGGCCGGGCCCGGCAATGTTGCGGCGTTGCGGCCGGAGACCCCTCTCGAGAACCGGAAGAGGGTCATTCGCTCATGGACCTGCCAGGGTGGAGGTTCGATCGAACTCCAAGTTCCCGAGCTCCCTGCAGCTAGAATGTTCAGAAGGCTGGTTTGCAATGGGACGCACATGTGTTCCTGCTGGAGGTGGACGTCCGACGCACACGTGTCGTACACGCGTGTATATATATGTATATATATATAGACGTTGCACAATGTTGCTGCAGGGACGATCTTGCCACCAAGCGCCCGCCAGGGATATGACATGACACGTACTTGAAGATTCCTGAGCGTGCGCGTCGCCCCTGCGAGGCCGCGCCGCACACGGCACGAGCACGTTTTGGTGCTGCCGCCGCACCGTCCGTCGGAACATGGAGGCCCTCCGGCCCGGTCCTCGTCCTCTCAGCATCAGCCCATGGACCGTTTCTCGACGCGGATCCACGCGTGGCGGCGGAAGGAAGCTCCAGGAGGCCTTCGTTCGCATCTTCGGGTGACCTTCTCTGTCCCGTCGCGCTCCTCTCCACGTCAAGTCCGTATCGAACCCGTGTCGTCGGACTCATCGGAGACACGTCGGCCCCACCTCGAATCCGCGTCGGATCTGCGCCAAATCCGCGCCGAGTCCGCATCGAGCCCGCTTCGGGCATAAGATAAGGCACGAATCAGGGGGCCAGACGAGTAAAACAGGGCTAGGATCGGGATAAATCGCTCCAGAGCGTTCCGGAGCGCTCTCAGAGCGTTCTGGAACGCTCTGGAGCGGCCGCGGCGCCCAATACATCCTTCAAACCCGCCGATTCTCAGAGATTTCGAGTTATCCCGATCCGATTTTGTCCCGATCCTCGCGTCGTTTGACACCTGGCAGGTGCAGCGCAAGAGGCCCCAAGCATGCGAGCTGCGCCGGGCAGCGCCGCCGTTGCCTCGGCCGACCCTCCTCCGAGTCGCGGCTTCCGGCCGGGGTGGCACCGGTCCGCCAGCTGCACCACCTCGGGCAGCATGCGCCGCTCGCCGTCGTCCTCCTCGCCCCGCGCACCGTCGTCCTGGGCGGGTGCGGGCCGCGGTCTGGCCGTAGCGAGCCCCAGCAGAGGTCTTGGGGTCGTCGTCGTCGTCGTCGTCGTCGTCGTCGTCGTCGTCGTCGTCGTCGTCGTCGTCGTCGTCGTCGTCGTCGCGTCGTCGTCACCTTCCCTCCTCCTGCGCTCGTCTCCGCTGTCCCCAGGCCACCCTCGCGCCACAGCACCTTCGCTTCCCCAGAACGAATGAATCGCCCCGTAGCGTGTCGACACGGAGCTCGGCACGGAGATCGAAAACGCAGCGCATGAAGAAGGATGTGCTGAACACGGTACGTGTGGCGCGCCAAGCGGGCGCATCAGGGCACTGAGCACGGCGAACATCACGGCGGGGCGGCTCTTGTCAGGCTGCGGCCCCGGGCGCTTCCCGGCCCCAGGAGGGAAAGAGCGGGCCCCGGGGAGGAGGCCCAGACCGGGTCGACGCAGGTCCGGGGAGTTCTTGCCGGCCCGCGCTGTGCATTAAGTGGCACAAGGCGGGGCTTGAACCGCTAAAGGTCTTTAGTTTTGGTCCTCCCCCTCCTCCATCTCCTCCTCCTCCTCCTCCTCCTCCTCCCCCTCCTCCTCCTCCTCCTCCTCCTCCTCCTCCTCCTCCCCCGCCTCCTCCTCTTCCTCGCCCTCGGTGCGCGGCCTTCGGGGGGCCGCGGGGGTGCCAAGCACAGGCGCGCGCGAGACGCTGCTCACCATCGCATCGCCTTCGGCGGTCGGGGGGCCCCAATGGGCCGCCATCAGAGGTCACTCCGGCGAAGTGTCACTCTTACGGGTAGTCGATCTGGGGGGTCGTCGTCGTCGTCGTTGTCCTTCCCATCCTACAGCGTTCGTCTCCACTCTCCTCCTCTCCTTCCGGCTGAACACACCCTCGGAGAGGGCCTTGTGGGCCGTCTCCGAAGCCGTAGACGGCTTCTCAGAAGACGCAAAATCTTCATTCCCAAACGCTGCCCCCTCTCGCTTCCCCCCTGTGTTCGACGCCGAAACATGGAACACTTGACACTGCATGCAGCGTTTCGTGCTGGCGCGCCCTGGTCCTGTCACCCTAGTCTAAGCCGCTCGAAGCGAAAAACTCTTATGCACAGGCGCCTTACTTTGCTCTGGGGCATAAGAACTGATATGGCTGCTGACGTTCCCTCACTCCCAACATCTCCTTCCGCCGCAGCCGGACTTGACGCAACAGCGCTTTCGGTCCCAGCCCCGGCTGCGGCGACGCATGGGGCAGGACGATGACGACAACGACGACGACGAGGAAGTCGAGGGCGAGGACGAAGACGACGGCCACGACCAAGCAGACTAGCCAGACGGCCCAGTCAGACTGGCCAGGTAGACCAATCACACCAGCCAGGTAGAGTAATCAGACCAACCAGACCAGCCAGCCGTTCGGACCAGCGAAGCACAGACCAGACTAAGCAGGCCAAGCTGCCAGGACCAAGCAGACTAGTGAGACCAGCCAGCCCAACTAGTCAAGTAAGCCAACCAGACCAGGCAGACCAGCTAGCCGTTCAGACCAGCGAAACCCAGACCAGACTAAGCATACCAACCTGGCTAGACGAAGCAGGCCAGACCAGGTCAGTCAGACACCAGTCAGATCGGCCAGGTCGACCAACCAGACCAGCTTAAGTCTTCAACTGAAGCTGAAATCCCATGGCGTCACGCCGTGCGCTTTTCTGATTGGTCTGGCTGGTCTGGTTGGTCTGTGTCGTGGTGGGGGGATAGGAAGAACGCCTGGCGGCGCCAACGCGTAGCCGCCCTCCTCCTCAGACGGTGGCACTGAGCCTCCTATCTTCCTCCTCGTCGTCGCCATCTTCATCCTCTTCCTCCTCCTTGTCCTACCCTTATCTTCTCTTTGTTCCCTCTGGGAGGCGGTTATTCCATTCGCTCCTGTATTTCAGTTCGCTCATGAGCAGACCAGCCAGACCATACCTAAGATAAGGCTGCAAGACGAAGCCCAAACCAGACCACCCAGACCAGCCAGACCAGAAGCAAAAAACAACTGCAATGAAAATAAACAACATGCAAAACAAACAAAATGCAATGCATACAAAACTGCCTTTTGGTCGTCGTGGTGGTTGGCGCCGCCTCGCCGGACCTACCCTAAACCATTCTCGCTCGGATCCTGAGCTAAGGCTTCAAGACGAAGCTCAAACCAGACCAACCAGACCAGACAGACCAGATGCAAGAACAAATTCAATGCAAAACAACACATGGGAAGCAAAACACATGAAATGCACAAACAATGTATTTAGATCGTCGTGGTGGTTGGCGCTACCTCGCCGGACCTCCCCTAAACCACTCTCGCCCAGATCCTAAGCTAAGGCTGCAAGACGAAGCTCAAACCAGATCAACCAGGCCATCAAGACCAAATGCAAAAAAAACTGCAATGCAAAACAAAATACAAGCGAAACAACTGCAATGCACAACAAACGCATTTCGATCGTTGTGGTGGTTGGCGCTGCCTCGCCGGACCTCCCATAAACCACTCTCGCCCTGGATCCTAAGCAAAGGCTGCAAGGCGAAACTCAAACCAGACCAATCGCACCACAGAGACCAGAGCTAGACTTGCGCTTCGTAAGCTTGGCGTCCCGCCGTGCGCTGCACGGCCAAGAACTCTAGGCATGGGCCTCCCGAGTGGGCTCCTGGTGGATGGGATGGGAGGATCGGCGATGCCTCGGCGGCGCCGACGTGAAGAACACCAGGCTCCACGTCGAGCCGAATCGCCGATGCCTCGCCGCTGCGGAGCGATCCGTCGTCGACCCCACCTGCTCGCACCCCGCCCAGGGAGGCCCAGACACCCACCGCTCTCGCCGCCGACGCCTCGGCCTAGCATTTCAACGCCCGAAATGGGTACGGAAAAAATGGGCACAATGCCCAAAAACAAATGTTGTCCCAAACCAACAGCGGCCGCTGTTGGGCGGGCGGCCTCCTGTCTCACATGGACACAGGCCGCGGCGGCGCGGACAGCGAGTCCTGTTCAAAATGAACAGGAACTGCTGTTGGGCATTGTACGGCAGGTTCGTGTCGTGTCGACCCCGGCGTTGGTTCCTGACACCGCGGGGATCGTTCAACCTTGAACGATCGGCCGTTTCCGAAACGTCCCAATCGCTCCACATCGAACGATTATGGGTCCCCCGCGGCGTTCAGCGTTGAACGCCGCTGGCGGGGTCGCCGCCGGTCGACACGACACGAACCAACCGTACCCATTCTTTCCGTACCCATTTCGTGCGTGCAGACGGCAGGCTCGGCCCGTGCTCCCGCCCGTGCCCGTCGCACGGCCCTCCCGCGCCGCGCTCGCGGCCGGACGACGCCGGGGCTCCCCCAGGCGCAGCGACTGGGCTCCCTCCTTCGCCAGGGCTCCGACGGGTGCGGTCTGCAAAGGGCGCGGTGTGAGGACCTCGGCGGACTGCTCCGCCGCGCCCCGAGGCGGCCCGACGAGGGCAACGTGGTGCCACCCATACAGTCGAAGCTGATAGTAGGGACGCGCGTTATAAAGATGCAAGAGACCCTTGGGCACCCGTGCCGAGGCTTTGCGAGTGGGGCTGCCAATCGAAAGTGGTTAGTGCTAGACCGAAGAGGCAAGGATGCAAGGGTACACTTGGGAAGGTTGCCCATCCTGACTGTCGGTTCCGGCTGTAAACCCCAACGGCGCCGATCGCAAACCACATTCCGGCGTAACTACACGCTTGGTAAACGCCGCCCTCTTCTCGCTCGCGCTGGTGCGCCGATGAAAACTGCTGACACTAGGCCGCGACAGGATGAGAGGGGGAAGTGAAAAGGAGGAGGCTTTCTCAGAAGGCGGTGAGGCTACTAAGAAACCCGCAGGCCTCCTGAGAAGTTTTCTGCCTTCGGGGAAAACTTATACAACGTCTTAGAAGGCCGGGGGACGTTCGAACCTTCTGAGAAGGCCCGCCTGTTACCGCATCCATCGTTCAACCTTGAATCGATCGCGGCCCCAACTCCTGCGCGCCAAAGCCGCATGTATCTACCGTATTGTTGATCATCTGCCGTGGAGGACTCATCAGCGTGTCTCTTACGGTTGATGAAAAGCCAGGACTTTGGGCCACAATTTCCCAACGCCTCCAAACAACCCGCCCGCCCTGCCAGTGATGGTGAGGCGACTGGAGGCGGAGTGAAGCGCTACTTTCTCCAACGTTGGCTGCATCTTGTTGTCCGGGGAACGCTTGCCTGGCGGTTCGTTTGATCCCGCCCTAGCCGTCCTAGCCCATGCTTTCGCAGTGGGCCCCCGGGGGCGGGGGACAAGACTCTCAATTGGCTTGCGATCCCCAAAAACTTCTGTCTGCAGAGAAAGTCGCCCTCGAGCCAGAATGGCCGCGGTCGGGGTCTCGCTCGGTGGTGCGACGCTATTCGGCGGACAGGTTTGCACGCCTCGGGGATGACATCTGCCCCTGGCTCGGAAGATACAAAATGCAAATATGTCGTATCATCGCGCGGGGGACGATCACGGCACCCACAGAAAGCTTGCAGCGAAGCCACAGGACGAGGGACGATCAAGGCACCCCGGGAGCGCGAAGCGGCAAGAATTGCAAAAACTAGCAACACCGGGACAAGAGGTTTGGGTATTGCAGGCCTGCGCGGATGATGAAGGTCCTTTGCGTATCATCTACAGGCTTCGATCCTGGCCGAGCGCGAGGCCGAGCGTGCCTAGAGTTCATCTCGCGCGGCAGAAAGAATACGGGAAGCAGCTTGAGTCACATGCTTTGGAATGTCTTCCACAACACGACCAAAATAGAGGTATCAGGAACACTTTACGGGTTCCCCGAGACCTGAACTTTGCTCGGCACGGAATTTGTGGCCATCACACCGATTCGCTCTGTTTTACCCCACAACGAAAGAAACACGCGCGGACGTATCCCTGCTACTCTTTCTCCTTTTTTCCTCCTGCGGCACGTCAGAGGCCCCCTGGGACTCGAACGCGCTCCGCGCTGCGCGAAGCGCGATCATCTTCGAGCTTCCGCGCCGCCCACCCCCCTCCCCCGAACAGGACGAGGGACTCGCGCCTCGCTCCGAAATTCGCCCAGACCGCGAAGCGCGACCGACTTCGCACCCTCTTTCGGTGTACAAAGTCAGAGCCATAATTTAGTCATGTTTGTGTGTGTCTGTGTGGCTTTTGTGTCTTTTTGTGTTTGTTTATGTTCCGTCCAGTGTTTTCTTTGTGTGTTTTTGTGTTTTTTTGTGTTTTTTTGTGTCTTGGTTTGTGTTTTTTTTTGTGCGGGAGGAATCTGCCGCGGTCGATCGCCCAGGAGGGTTCGATCGCCCAGGAGGGCCTCTTGGTTATGCCCTACGGAACAAGACCTGGTTCTGCCGGCGAGTGCCGGCCGCTCCCGCGGCACGCGACCGCGGGAGGTCCAAACCCCGACTGCGGCTGCGGCTGCAGCGAGGGCGGGCCCGAGGGGCACCCGCACGTCGGCAAAGCTTGGGAGCGCACACTTTCGAGGGTCCGTGCGGACTTCTTGGATCGGCTCTACTCGCCATCGCTCGGACGTCCATTCCTCGTGTATGTTTCGACTTCGTGTGTGTGTTTTTTTTTCTTCGCCAAATGATCAGGGATGGTCCTCGATGGCCGTCGCCGAGAAAAAAATGCACACGTCCGAGCGATGCCAAGTCTAGGACCCGCTCCCTGGAGCTCGGAGCGCGCCCGGGGCGGCGCCGGAGGCGCAGCGCGGGGGGAGCTCGGCGCCGATCCAAGAGATCGGCGCGCGTCGACCTCAAGATGTTCTTGTCAGTGCCGTGACTTCTTCTTCGAGACTGGTCGCACCTGCTGTCTTCTCTGACTGCAGGCAAGACTGGGGAAGAACAGCGAGCGACGAGCCGAGACGTCCGCGCAAACATATCCGAAGCCTCATGCTCATGCACTGTGTTTCTTACCCGAGCGAACCGCTCCGACAACCGCAGCCTGCACCACTGCACACACGTGCTGAGCAGTCTCGTCTGCCCCGTCGCAGCACTCAATCTGCATTGTGTTTCTTATGCGAGCGAACCACTCAGACAACCGCAGCCTGCACCACTGCACACACGTGCTGAGCAGTTCCGTCTGCCCCGTCGCAGCACTCAGTTCGGAGCCTGGGCGGCTGCTCCGGCACGCGGACACGCTCCGTGCTCTCCTGAGAGCCGCCCCCGCCACCTCCCTCTCCCCGCGGCCGGCTCCCTCCCTCGCCCTCCCACGGTGCAAAGCACCTCTTGAGGAGCCCAACCCAGCTCCTTCGACTTGTGCAAGCGCCGAATCCACGGCGAAACAAGCATGTTGGTTCTGCTTCGGCTCCCCCCGCGGAGGTGGCCCACCCACAGGGCTTGCGCTCCTCGGCCGGTGCCTCCTCGTTGTCGGCCTGCCTCCCCTTCTTCTTCTTGCCCATGGCGCCAGAGGGGGCCGGGTCACCTGCGAAGGGAGGGGGTCTAGCACCGTAGGGGGGAAGGGTCGTTGCGTCTCTCTCTCTCTCTCTCTCTTCCAATCCCCCTCTCTTTCCCACCCTGAGAGTCACCATCATCCTCTTCAGCCTCATCCTGCTCCTCTCGTTCGTTTGCTCGCTGCGCTTCACCGCCGCCCTTCCCTTCTCGGGCAATTCGCCGCGAGTGGAGCCCAGTGTGTGCTCGCAGCTCCGAACGTGACACCGCCTCTCTCAGGAACGGCTCGAGATCGCCAGGGATCTCAACAGCTGTGGTGGTACGCAAACAGGGACTCTTGGGCGCCCGAGTTATCCGGGGTAACTCGGGTCCAGGGTAACGCGGGTTTGGATACCCGAAAAAAGAACCCGAGTTAGCCCTGACCCGAATTACACCTGATGATTCGGGGCTCTGGATGCCCGAATTATCGGGGGTAACTCGGGTCCGGGATAAATCGGGTTCGGACTCGCGAAAAACGAACCCGAGTTAGCCCTGACCCGAGTTACCTCTGATAATTCGGGGCTCTGACAGACTGCCAGGGATCTCAACAGCTGTGGTGGTACGCAAGCAGGGACTCTCTCAGATCTTGGCTCAGCACGGCCCCAAGCGGGCAACGGGGCGCCAGGGATCGCGCGCCCGTCGGGTGTACGCTCTACATACCTGTTTAGGAGCCCCGCGAGTCTTCAAGTTTCAAGTTCCCCTTCCTGCTTCTCTTGATCGATGCCACCTCTGTTCCTTCAGATCGTTGGTGCACACGTCCTGTTTCAGCCACTTCCTGTGAACCTCCCGCACTTCGTGCCCACCCATGGATGTAGAATCTGATGCAGGAGATCACACCGACCTGCATGATGATCGGCCCCTAGCTGTGGACGCTGGAGGAGAGCCGGCACCGCGCACATCGCGGAGAGAGCCACCGCACCGAGTAGACGGCACAATGGCCCACGTCGGCCCCACTGCGTTGTCCTGGCGGGCCGCACGGCGAGGAGTCAGAACCCGAGGCGAAAGCGGACACGAGCGGCTCGGGCGAGGTGCTCCTCGCCCGGCAGGACAGGGAGGCCTCACGGAGCCCCCCCCCCAAGCTGGCATGGACGGACCCGCTCGCCAACGGTGTGGAGGTAACCCGTTGATCGATGCCGTACCCGTCTGAGCACCGTGGGGGTCGCGAGTTCACCCTCAGCCTCCTCACGAGCAGCCTCAAACATGATTCTGGCCGATTGCAGGGTGGAGCAGGAGCCCACATTCGTGAATGAACCTGGGATCGTCGTGTACACCGCCATGTATGTGTTATCACATCATCAACCCCCGCCTTTCTCTCATCGTTTGTTGGGCAGCGGCTTGCTAAATCTCGCATCTGTCGTGGACCTGCCTTGTGGAGTACCATCACCGTTCTCTTAATCATGTCTGATCTGGTCCGTCTACGACTTGCACTTCACGAGCATCGCCCACGAACATGGGCAAAGCATATCATCTAAATTCTGCCACCCGAGTGGAGCCGTGGGATCTACGACTGGTCTGAGTCGATTGTGGTCACAGCGTTTAACAACATGCCTGGGGTGGGTTGCAGATGCCATGGGTTCACATTTCGCACTTTACCGTGGAAAAACCATCCTACGCGATGGCACCATGCCTGGCGTCTGGGGCAGGGCACAAAAACACGTTTGATCTTTCTTGCAGCCACGAATCCGACCTGGCAACCGCCCCCGATACCGAGCTCTTCGTTGCAGTGGAAGCTCAGTCTACTTCATCCCGTTCCTGTGGCTGGCGACCGAGTCGGCCGGCTTCTACTTCGAGGCCTGGGCGATTCCACACTTTCGACCTGATGCCAACATGGCGGACTAGAAAGAGTCGGAGCAGGTTAGTATTCTGAAAGGTCGGGGCTTGATCCATGCAACGCCCAAAACGGAGACGCCTCGCTCGAGACCTCTGTCATGGCGCCGAGCCCCGACCTCGCGCTTCCCACCACCTGCGTGGACGACGGCAACTCCTGCGTGTGCGGATCCAGTGGTGTCTGTGGATTCTGGCCAGTTAGCGATGTTTCCTTGTGCCTTTTCCGAGTCGGCACCACATTCGACCTGATACGATCTACAGCTTCGGGAACATTTCCACCGAACAGGCGTCGAAGAACCACCATGGATCTTCAAGTCGTGTAGACTTGGGCTCCTCCTCGCCTTCCTCGCGGCCCAGTGGCGACCCTTGCCTTTCTGCACAGACCACTCTCGGGCAGAAAAGGGCGAGATCTTGTTTCGTGCATCCGAGGTGGCATCTCATTTTTGGGAAAATGTCATACGCGTACGGATGGCGCGCTACCATATTGATATCCATATCCGTCGACTCTAGCTGCCAGCTGCGAAGAGACCGATACTCAAGTGCCACATGAGTTTCGAGACCATAGACTTCTTCAGTCAGTGAAAGGCTCAAGCAACGCGATGTCCAACCACACGATATTCGAACTTGCTCGTCACTGGCACCATCGTCCCCAACGTGTCTTCTATAAGGCCCATCGCATTTGCAAAGACAAAAAATGCGAGAAGAGATTCTGCGCAGACTGTATTCCCGATGCCCTACCCACATCGGGGAAAGACTCTGAATTTATTCTTGGGCCCCATACACATTCGCAAACTTTCAAGCGCATGGAGACCTCCCGTGTGGGCCACCCCGGAGGTCTTCCTGCGCGCTGCCACTGGTGCACTTCCTAAGTGGGCAGCTACCGGAAGGTGGCGCCGAAGCTGCTACGCCGTGGGTTTGATCTCCGCAAACGTTTCAGGGGTTCTGCATCTTCCGAGTTAGCTTCTGACCTGGCTGACCCCCCGGCACACTGGCGTGGCTTTGATGCAGAAACGCAGACAGCCGTGGACGAAGCCCGTGGTAAGATCCTCATTGCAGACGGCATGCTTCCTGATGAAACATGGGTGGTGGATTGCCCTGATGTACTTCGATGGCTACACCAGAGTCCCGAATTAGCCGAGGATTGGGCCCTCCGCCTCGATATCTCTCGAACAGACGCTGCTGCATGGCTTTGTCCGCGGACGTACCAGGGTCCTCCGTTGCTACGGTCTGCCCGGATGCTGCCACAAACCTCGAACATGACAAGCCCACCTTACGTCTTCCCGACGGTTGAAAGTCAGTGTTTCGACCACGACAGTTTCAAGAGATGCGCGGGGCCTGGACACAGATGCTTGCGCCGCATCGTGAACCCTGCTGGAGCACCAGGAACTGAAGGCTACATGTGTACCGGACGAGCTGCAAGACTACTCCTTCGTGATAATGGTGTATCCTCGACGGCGTTCAACATGAGCGATGTAGCGTCTGAGGTACGCAACATCAGAGTGGAACGGGACCTCCCTGCTACTGACTCTTGCCTGTGCTGTGATGCCCACGTACCGTGCATCGCGGTTGTCGTCGCCGACGCTGATCAAGCATATGAACAGAGGTAGAAGCCAGAAAGAATTGTCTCATGAAATTGCGCGACAGATTGGTACGGACTCAGCTCTTGTGAAGCGTGGGCGTCACTGTCTCTTTCGGATCTTTCGTAGTGCTACACCACCGAATCACTTCCAGGTTCTCGTGCATCAGATTGCCAAGGCAATGCTAGCAGATTGCTGGATCCCCTGGTCACCATTGGATGTCTAGGCTATGAACTACGTGGCCGATTCATCGGTCGACTGTTTTGTCAGGAGTGGCACTAACTATGCTCATGGCGTGCTTCGGCATAGCAGGATGAACAATACCCAGATCGGTTCTCATCCTCGGGCTGTATAATATCAGCACCATCCGGCTCCATAGATATTAGAAATGAAGCAAAGCAGGTGCGTGGATGATAACGTAGGCGTCAGCAAGGTTTATTGCAAGCAATGCGAGTATGTGTACATTAAGCAACTAGATCGTGTTAAACCATCTCCTGCATCTGTTGCCATGCCCAATGAAATCCACGTATTTAGTTAGATCCGGAATATGGCCTAATGGGACCTCTCTCTGGATAGCCCCAAAGAGTGATAACATAGCAAGGACGCCGTAGGCCCCCGCTCCACGACGAACATCCTGCCCTGGCCTGGCCAGCCCCTCGAGGTTTCAACACGTTGGGGTCGTTTTTCTATGGACGTGTGATTCGGGCTCACTTCCTGGAGTTGTCTCCCAGGGTCGTGGTCTCCTGGATCCTGGAAATGGCTCTCCAGCTCTACCTTGGGGGATACAACACGGACATCGCCATGGGTGGTGAAGACGCCGACCGTCACGGACCCACCGCGGCGGTGAGCGCCATGAGCCGCGGAGGCCCTTCGGCGGGCGGCACGACTCCCATGGGCGCCGTGATGAGCGTGATCGTGATCGCGACACAGACCGCCGTGACGGCCGAGACCGACGGGGTGACAGCCGAGACCGCCGGAGGAGGCCGAGGCGTCGGAGCGAGCGTGGCGGTGGCGAGTCGTCCCGCGAGGGGCGAGGTCGTGGTCGGGACGAGCGCGGGCCGCCTCGCGACTGGCGGCCCAAGGCCCGCTCCCGGGGCAAGGTCACGACTGGGGGCGTCGTCGAGACGCGGGCAGGCTTGGCCAAGGCAGGCCTTCTAAGAGAGGGCAAGAGAGGCAAGGAGAAGGGGCTCCGCGTGCGCAGGCAGGGTGGGCAAGTTGGCCCGGGCGGTGAAGAGCTCGTTCGGGGACAGGGCGCCAAAGCCCTTGGAGGGTGACAACGATCAGTCTACATCGAAGGTCTCGTCGACGGCAGATGCGCGGGCGGTCTCTCCCACCCCTGAGGCGGAGGCGCCCTCATTGTCTACGCTCCTGCGCAGGGCCGAGCACGGGTGGTTGCAGTCCCTGCTGGGCAAAAAGAAAATGTTTTCCGAGAAGATGTCGTGGGGAGACGCAGCCAACATCCTCGAGTTCCGACAAGGCCATCACCGCGAACGTGAACAAATGCATTCAGGCGTATTGCAAGAAGAAGCAGGTGCCGAAGCAGAAGTCCAAAGCGGTGGCGGTGGTGCTCTCGATCATCGACGGCAACGGCATCTAGTCACACTCAGACGCAAACGCTGACGTGAGTTCGGAGCGCGATCCTGAGCTGATCGTGAAGTGTCCCCCTTCAAGTACGACCTCTGGGGTCTCGTCGCCGACGGAGTCGGCTTCGTGGCAATATGCTACCATCGGTTTCTGTGCTGGAGTGTGTGCCGCTCCCTTCCTTTGGCTGCTCCTTCCCGTTGAGAGCCGACGTGCCCCGCAACTGGGCCCACACCGGAGAGACGCGTTTCTTACAGGAGCTCTCCAACTCTCTCCAGCACCCCTTCACCTTCGCAAGTGGAGAGAGGGGGACGGTTGAGCAGCGCTACGGGCCGTGGAGATGACCCGACCGTGGCGGTAGTAGATGTCTTACCATCTGTCTTCTGTAGCAAGTGCCTTCCCCTCCTCTCCTGGCAGCCCTCCCGCCATGGGCAGCAGGTGCCTTCGCGACTGGATAGGAGCAAGCGGTTGTGCGTACAATGAACACGGGCATGCCAAGTGCTGCGATTCCTATGGTAGCAGGACGTTTGGCTCGCCTCCCGATCTCACCGTGTGTCCCAGCCCCTCGGGCCCGTACAGGGGGAAGGAAGCGGACTCCAATTAGTGACCTTTCTGATGGCTTGCGGATTCATCAGTTAGCCCAGCGCTGAGTTTTAGAAGTCCCTCCCAACCCTCCCGACCCTTCTCAATTCACATCCACCTCTCCTTGTTCCCCTCCCCTCCCGTCCAAGAGCCTGGTCAGGGGATGAGTAGTCTAGGGCTGACCAGAAATGCTCACCACGTCTCGTGCCCTCCCTGTAGCCACTAGGCTTCATGTGCATACCCATGTCAGTCAAACCCTCTCGAGCTCCATCGAACCGATGTCTTCCCAAGAATCGGCAGCCCTAGCTCCCGTGGGTGCAACACCGCCTGCCAGTGTGGAGAGGAGCTGTTTGGGTCATCTCTCCCTTTCTCCCTCCTCCCGTCCTCTTGACTACCCCTCCTCCTCCTCTCGACCTTCCAAGATACGTGTCTCGATAGGAACCGTTGGCCCCCATACCACGCCACTACACTGGGGGACGATGCCGACTGCCAACACTCCGACATGAAGAACATGCGGCTCCGCCCTACGGCCTCGCGTTGGGTCTCTCGCTCTCTCTCTCTCTCTCTTTCTTTTTCTCTCTCTCTCTCTCTCTCTCTCGCTCTATTCGTCTCCCCCGCTTTCCCACCCTGAGAGGTACCATAATCCGCATCATCCTCATCCTGCTCTCCTCGTTCGCTTCCTTGCTGGCCTTCACCGCCGCCGTTCTCTTCTCAAGCACTTCGGTGCGGGTTGAGCCCAAGGTGTGCTCGCAGCTCCGTCCGTGACACCGCCTCCCTCAGGAGCGGCTCAAGATTGCAAGCGATATCATCAACAGTGGTGGTCACAAACAGGAGCTTCCGATATGTGTATTCTATATGTATGTATCGCTTGTACTCTTTCTCAACATCTATATCTCCAATGTTCGTGGTTATCTCTATCCCCCTCTCTCTCTCCTTTGGTATCGTTCTCTCTCCTCCCCATCTCTGTCTCTCGCTCGGGATTTCTCCCTCTCTCTCTCTCTCTCTCTCTTTCTCGCCCTTCCCTTCCTCCCTCCCTCCCTCCTTCCGTCCCTCTTTTGTTTCTTGCTCTTTTTTCGTTTCTGTCTCTCTCTCTCTCTCGGCCTCAAGACCTACGTAGACCCACAGCCACCCGTCCCGGTGCTCTCGCCAAGTGCCCTACTGGCCCGCGTTTCTCCCACGTCCCGCGCTGCCGACTGCGACCGAGCGGCTCTTGCCGCCACGGCTAGACCTTCTCGAGTCAAGCTTGCCATTCAGAAGCGAGCTGTAAGGCACAGCAAGGCTTCCGAGCCGGCCCTGAGGGTTGACATATGCGGGGAGGCGTCTGCCCGCCTTTGCGTGTACATACGCGGCCAGACTACATTGGCGCTGCGCGCCATACACCTTGCTCCTCACAGTTCGAAGCATCGGGTGAATGCCATGTGATCGATCATGATATCACGACCACGGGGTGGCATTGCACAGAACACGGCTCGGAGAATTCACGCCTGCGGAGCTCGCGTTCCACTCTGGTCCTTGCTGGGTGTGCGTCCGACTGAGCGGTCAGCCAACTCCCTGCCCTTCTCTCCCCTTGTCCTTCCCTCCCCCTTAGAACTGATTTCTCTGCCCCTTCTTCTATAGAGGCCTCCCAAAGACAGGATCGCGCCGCATCGCCGCTGCATAGGCGATGCATCGGCGACGCAGGCGTGGAGAGAATCGGCCTTCCCCACATCGCGCCACAGCGCCGATGCATCGGCGATGCGGCGCGTTCCTCCGACCCCATCTACACGGACCCCACTCAGGAGGCCTGTATTCCGAATAATTGAAATTTCTCTTCATGTTCCTTCCCTTATTCCTGTTCCAGCTCGCCCTCCTCTTCGTGTTCCTCCTTCTCCTGATTAACTGCCTCTGCATTCTCATTCTCTCCCTCCTTTCTCCCTCCCGCCTCCGTTTCCTCTTCTTTTCCAACGGCCCAGCCCTCCTCCTCCTCGCTCACTCTTCCTCCTTTTCCTTCTACTTGTCCAGGCTCTTGGGCCGTCTTGGGGCTATCTAGGACGGACGCCCAGGCGCTCTCTGCAGGCTCATAGTGGTCGTATTGAGCCCTCTCGAGTCCCTCTGGGCCTTTGTTGTGCCGTCACGGGGACTCCTTTGCGCGAGGGCACATTCAGATCGTTTCGAAAGCCGTCCGCAGTGTGTTTGGAAACATAGTTGTGCCACCCTGGGCCGCCTTGCTAGCGTTCTGGGGCTATCCTGGACCGTCTTGAAAGTCGTACAGGACCCTCTGGGATCTTTGAAGCCATCGCGAGTCGAATAAAGCCAAAATCAAGCTGGCCTTGAAGAAATGCTGTATCTCTGGGGACTGCTCCGGAGGCTGTGAATCCCTCCCAGAAACATAATCTCCTGGGTGGTCCCTTGCCATTTACTAGCGGGCCCTGGGAAATACCCAAGCGCCCTCCTCAGACCGCCACCGGCCCCTTCCCAAAGCCCGGCAAAGAGGCAAGGAGGTCTGGAAGGCCTGGGAAACAGGTCTGCCAGGGGCGCTCCAGTTCAAGAGATCCCCAGATCTCCGACGATGCGTTTTCTTCCAATCCCGCCGTGGCTCCTCGGCTTCGGCCTCTGCGGCCGTTATCGGGCCCCCGGGCCATCTTGGCGGCGCGCACAAGGGGGTGGGGGGAGGGGGGGGGCTTCTTAGAAGCAGGCTGCTTCTTGGAAGGCGCTGGCCCTTACATCTATAGATGAGGCCCGCGCCTTCTAAGAAGCAGGGGTGCTTCTAAGAAGCCCTCCCCCTCCCCCCACCCCCCTCTGCGCATGGCTGACCATCAAAAATGGATCCGGGACATAGAGCCACCCCCAGGGACGGGGAACCCTGGGGCCGCGCACTGCAAACATACATCGTCGGATGTCTTGGGGCAGGGGCGTCCAGGAGTCTCGTGGAGGCGAGCCTTCATCTGGTGGGGACCTGCTCGGGGGCCCCGTCCTGCAACACTCTGAGAGTACAGGAACGAGTCACCGCGCTCGATGTTGCCCCCTGATGGGGGCCCAGCGTGGCTCGAACCAGGAGACGATCACGAAGGATGAAAATGGTAAGGTGCTGAGGAGCAACGGGAAGGGGGGACTGGCTCAGGGGGTAGACATCGGCCTAGAATCAGCGATACATCGCCAATATATTGGCGATCAACCCTTGATAGCGAGTCCACCCACACACTTCTGGGCAGGGTGGGCTATCGGGCCCATATCGGAAATCAGTCGGCTCTAGCTGGGCCCCAAGACAGCAGAGGTTAGCGAAACAACTCATGTAACTCATGTTTCCGGCGCCTCTTGGCGCCAGAGGCGCCACTGTATTGAGAAAAGCGCCTGGCGGCGGGGCAACTTCCGTGCCCCTCCTTCCCCAATCCAATCCAATCCAAACGACCCGACAAAGGGGGTCGATGCATCCCCCCCTGAGCCTATCCCCCCCCCCCTGGCGTTGCCCCTGATGTGAGCGGGCACGCGAGGAGGAAGAGGACCGGTATCTTCTGTTTGTGGCGTCAGCGGTTGTGCTCAGTCCGCTCTGCGCCGCCGCGCCCTGGTGCCCCGCCGAGAAGCGGTGCAGGCTGCCCCGGGGAGCCAGGACAAGGTACCTGGTCTCCTGAGGGGAGCGTCGTTTAACCGATCCCCAGACCCACTGGCTCGGGGCCTGGACCCTTCCGACCGATTGACCCCCCCCCGATGGGGATAGAGGCTGTTCCTTTCGGGTTCCGAGGGGCCCATCCCCAATTGGAGGGGCGAGATGGTGGGGCTGAGGCACCATGGCCCAGTGGAGATGGGGATGGGTTGAAGGATTGATGAGGGGAGCCGATGGTGGAAGGTGGCTGGTTCAGATGGGGGGGTAAACCCAGACCCCCTCGCGTCGCGAACTCTGTTCTGCATGTTTGGCCTCGGGGGGGGGGCACGGGACCGTCGAATAACCACTTAGGATGAAAGGCCGGTCCTCGGGAAGAGCTCCACACCTCTAGGGTTCCCCAGACATCTGGCTGCTCCGAATTTGCCGATGCGTGGGCCCCAGAGGTCTGGACCACTGCCCCCAGGCTTCGTCCTGCATCGTGTCTTGACGGTCCCGGGGCCCGGCGGAAGCCCCTGGAGTCCGAAAACGGCCAAGCTCAGGCCACTCCAACTTCCTCGGGAAATCGGACCTCGGAGCCCGCGCCACCCCAAACTCACGACGGCGGCAGTCCCTGCGGCGGGCTGTTCTTCCACCCCAGGACTCTGTGAAGGTCGGGGATGACGTGGGGACGGTGTGGTGTATGCTCCCTTCCCCGCGTTCCCTGGGCACAGGCGGCCCAGACCGGTAGGTCGACCCTGCCAAATCAAGGGTGCCCTTGCGTCCTGTGTCTCGCGATACACCACCCGCAGCTCGGCGCCTGGGCCCCTCCCCCCGTGCGCTGGGCAGGCTGGGACAACACCCCGGCCCCGATCGGCGGGGCGTGGGCGATCGCCGACCCTCGACGCCGCGGCTGCTCACGGCGTCGGCCCCCGGAGGAGCCATGGCCCCCTGCCCCGCCCGGGCCGACCCGGCGGCCGGGACCCGGCGCGCAGCGCAGTCCGAGCCGGCCTCCCGAATCCGAGGCGGACCGATCCTGCGCCTCCCTGCGGCGACTTCTCTTGCCCGGCACTGCCGGTCCCCGCCTCCCCGGACTCCCGACGTCGTGTCTTGTTTTTTTGTGTCACGATGTCGACCCCCAGAGGTCTGGACTCCTTCCCCTGGTCCAGTGTCGTTTCTGGATAGTTCCGAGGCCCGGTAATGGCCCCTGGAAGCCGAAAATCACGAAGTACCGCCCGTCGTGATAATGTTCACATCGCGAGGGGGTCTGGGAATTGGCGATTGGGTGCCGATGCTTCCTCCCACGAGCCAGGCCCGCCTGTCGTTGCCCCCTGGCTGTCAGGCCCGAGCTCGGCCCCCCTCGGGTGCGGCCGCTCGGGACGCTGGGCGCATCCCCTGGAACGCCCTCGGCTCGGGCGCTGCCAGAAGTGCCCCCCTGGCCCACGGTGCCCCCAGGATTCCATGGGAGAGACGGGTCCTGAGGGCAGCGGGTCCTGGACCCTGGAGCCCTTCTCCCAGGACCAGCTCTTCATCCCGAGTCGTTCTCTGACAGTCCTGGGGCACGGGGGGCCCGAAAACACCGACCAAACCTCCAGACCTGTCTCCCTCGGGACCCGCTTCCCCCGTTGTGGGCCCATCGAGTTGCCTGCATCGTTGGCCGGCGAGGGGGAGGTTCCGATTTCGCCGCCACCGCCGGTGGTCTCCATGGAGCCCTGCGGGCACTTCACGAAGCCCGGCCCCTCGGCGGCCTGTGGAGGGGCCCTAGGACACACAAAGAAATACACACAAATAAAATGATTCCCCATATTTTCCCACATGTTCTGGGTTTCTGTCTTCCCCCCCACTTCCTATATATATATCATATATATATATATATATATATATCATATTTTCTAGGGAATCGACGATTAAGTGTGTCTGTGTGTTTTTTGCCCTCCTGAGCCTGGTGCAGCACGTAGCGGCCGAAGAAGAGGGCGGCCGTTCCGCGGCCGAGGGCCTGGAACTCGTGCTGCAGACCGGTGGCCTCCACCTCCTCCATGGGGGGGGGCACGCCAATCCCCATCCCCGACGTCGAGTAAGGTTTCCGCAGCGACAAGAAATTTGGGGCCAAACTCGGGGATATAATGCGGGATGACGATTCATTTTAGAACATGGGAGAGAACAGTTAAACAGATAGTTTTCTATTATTTCTGCACAATTTCTGACTGGAAGAGAACGATTTAAGAAATAGTTTTCCAGCGCGCGGCCGATTTTTTATAATCGTCATCCCAGGCGCCGCCGCGTGAACACGACCCCCCGTCATTTATGAATCGTCATCCTCCATTACGTGGGCGCGTCCGAATTTGCCCCCCCAGGGCTGTATTCCTGAGTCTCCCATCCCTCCCCCGCTCCTGAGCGGCCACACTTTTGTTCGGCGGAGCGCGGGGATTGGGGTCGATAAAAATCGCCTGCGGTCCTCGACGGAGGGCCGGGTGTCGTGCTGGTAGAAGCCGTCTCCCGAGTGCTCCAACGGCATGGCGGCGCGGCGAGGGGGCGGCCGCGGCACGCACGGGGGCAGAGAAGATGGAGCATCCACCCGCCGGCAGGTGCTCCACGAAGGCGTCAGATCCCCCGGTGGCCACAGGGACCCACAGAAACTTCGGGGCACCTGAGAGCAAGAAAACAAAAATCGACCGACTGAGAATGTGCTGCTTGTAATTCGCCGGGTTTCTCGTCGTATATGCGTCTACGGAATACGGGCGATCCCAACCCGAGAACGAGAGGCGGGATACCCAGGGAGCCCCAGGCCCTTCGGAACCTGGCAGCCGCGGTATGCAGTCGTCATTGGTCGAAGGCGCGACGCGGGATACCCAGGAAACTCTGGGCCCCTTGGGGCCCCTGGCGGCCGCGGCATGCAAGCTGTGCGAGGCGGGTCGAGAGCTGTTTCCTTAAGAACCGTAAGCCCGAACCTGTCAGGTAAGGGATAAAGGATAAAGGTTGCTCGTCGTATGCGGCGTCTGGAGGTCGTCTTCGGGCCCCGGAGCCGTCAGAAACTGCGGGCAAAAAAACTGATCCGGCTGGACCCGGGGATGGCAGATTTTCAACGGATGCATTGGGCTTCCTACCGCAGGGGGGGGCAGACTTCTGAGAAGGCAGGGGGGGCTTCCAGGAAGGCACGGGATAAACGGCATAGACATACACTCTCGACGGTCTGCGCGGATTTCTTGGTTCTGCGCCGGACCCCCGTCCCTGGCGCGCGAACGCGCCAAAGGCGGCGCCGAAAGCGCCGTCAGGAGGGCCCAACCAGATCCAAGAAATACGCGCGAAGCGTCGATCAGTCTTTTCGGTCGGACCGCGGTACAAGAACGGTTCAGGGAGCCCCCCCTGTTTTCCGGAGGAGGGTACCCTGATGTTTTTCGTGGTTGTTGGATATTCTTGTGCATCCTGGGGGAGCGCGCCCCCGAATGCTCTTCAAGTTGGCTGGCGGAGGGCCTCATGTTCCCGGAAGAACTTCTTGATCGATTGCACGTGGCCTTCATGAAAATGCCCGGGCAATTTTTCGAGGTGGCCCCTGCCTTCCGAGGAACTCTCGTCGCCGTTGCCTTGCAGGTCCCGGCCCCCTCTTCCAGTTCCGGGACCGTTTCTGTTGCCGTTTCCGGTTGCCGTTTTCTCACCGCTCTCATGTTCAAGAGGCGCTGAGGCAGCCTCCATCCAGGCAGGCAGTTCTCCCGGAAGTACCCGGGCCATCTTTTGAGAAGGAGGCTCCTGCCTTCCGAAGAGCCGCCCCGCCTGCTTTCGGGGCCCCCCCCCCTCCCCTCCCCCTGCGCCCCCCCCCGCCGGGCGCCGCCAGAGATGGAAGCAGCGCGATCTGCTTCTCCGCCTGTTGATGGGCAGATTTTCCACCAGCACTGCCATATAGGCAGGACTGGGGAGAAGGGAGGATGGGGAGGTCCATCTCGTCCTCCTCCTTCTCCTCTTCTTCCTCTTGCTCCTCCTCCTCCTCCTCCTCCTCCTCCTCCTCCTCCTCCTCCTCCTCCTCCTCCTCCTCCTCCTCCTCCTCCCTCCTCCTCCCCATCCTCCTCCTCCTCCCCTCTCCTCTTCCCCCTCCTCCTCCTCTTCCCCCTCCTCCTGCTCCTGCTCCTGCTCCTGCTCCTCCTCCTCCTCCTCCTCCTCCTCCTCCTCCTCCTCCTCCTACCTATGCTGGTAGTGGTGGTGGAACGTCGGCCCATCAGCCTTGGGTATCCACACGTTGACGATGTCGAACACCAGCTGCTGGCCTTCCTAGAGCAAAACAACATCAACAAGCATGCACGTCGGTCGGAAGAAGTAGGTGAAAACATGGAGTAGGAAGGAGGATCAAGTAGATTGGGATCAGGCCCTCCCAGGGAACAACAAACCACAGCAACTGCACATCGGTTCTTGAGAGAAGAAGGCGCCTAAATATACTGGGATCTGGCAAGCAAGAGCTACCCACTTTCAACTACCGTGGGGTACATGTTCGGAGGTCCGCGCGGATTTCTTCGGTCGGCACTGGATCACCCCTCCCCTGGAGCGCGGAGCGCACCAGGGGCGGCGCCAGAGGGATCCAGCGCCGACCCATGTAGTTCGCGCTGGCCTCCAATCCATTGTGCTTATCGGTTATTTGTTCTCCTACTTCCGCAGACTCGTACTGGCCGATCCGGGAGACGACGTCCTCGGTGAAGGCGGTCGTCAAACTCTGCGAGTCGTCCACGGGCTCGCAGCCAACGTCTCCGCCCAGCCAGTCGGGGGCGACTGGCAACAGAAGCTCCGGATGCAACATGCCGAGTCGGGACCTGAACTCCTCGTAGTGCTGGAACAGGGCCTCCCGGGCAGGCACTCAACACGGGCAGAGGCGCGCTGCCCTCGCGGTGCCCCCTGAAGGGCTCCGAGCGTCATGGGCACGTGGTCTGTTGATCCGTCTGGGCGGCCTGGGCGCGTAAAGACCCACGTTTCGCCCGAAACACCCTCGACAAGTCCTGGTGTCCAATATCCGCACGAAAGCACGTGGGCCCCTTGCGCGCCAGAGCGGAGCAAACCTGAAAACCGTAGGCCGTTTTTACGCCAGAGCGGAGCAACCGTGAAAACACGCGGGTCTCTTTCGCCCCAGAGCGGAACATGGTTTGAGAGCACGTGAGTCCCGTTTGCCCCAGAGCGCAGCAATCGTGACATGACGAAGGCCCCTTTCGCCCCAGAGCGGCGCAAACGTAAAAACACGTGAGCTCTTTTCGCCCCAGAGCGGAACAAGCGTAAAAACACGTGGGTGCCTTTTAGCCCCAAGTCACAACAAGCGTGACAATTACATGTTTTTTTTCGCTCCAGAGCAGAGCAACCGTAAAAACATGAGGGTCCCGTTCGACCCAGGATGCAATAAGCGTGAAAACAGGTGGGTCCCCTCCAGGAAGCCCCAGGAGGCCTCCCCAGAGCCCCAAGGCGGAGCGTGCCAAAGGATGATGCATCTGGTGGCGGTTCGTGGAGCTTGCTCTGCGTTGGTGTCTCCCTCCCTCGTATATTAGGGGGGAGGGGGGGGGGGGGAGACTGCCCCTGGGTGGCCAGGGCGCGTGGCAGCACGTGGGCCCCTTTTCGACCCAGAGCGCAGCAGGCTCGAAATCACGCGGGACCCCTTTCGCTCCAAAATTGCAACACATGTGAAGGTACGCGTGCCCCGTTCGCCCCAGAGCGGGACGAGCACGAAAGCACGATGGCCCCTTTCGCCCAAGAGCGCAGCAAGCGTGAAGACACGTGGATCCATTTCGCCCCATGGCGCAACAAGCGTGAACACACGTGGGCACCGTTCGTTCCGGAAAACAATAGGCGTCAGAATACGTTGTTCCGCTCTCCGGCGAAAAAGGCCCACGGATTTTCACGCTTCGTCTTTCTGAAGAGAGGGAATGTTTTCACGCTTGCTCCGCCCTGAAGCGAGAAGGACCAACGCGATTTCACGCTTGCCGCGCTCTAGGGCGAAGGGGCTCACCTGTTTTCACATGTGTTCCGCCCTGAAGCGAAAAGAACTGGGGCGAAAGGCACGGCCTCTCCACCTCCAGCACGAGCTTTTCGCTCAGGACATCCTCGGAATTCCTGCGCGCAGGACGCGCCATCCTCGAGCGGCAATGCAACACGTGAACTTGTGTACATTGCTTGTGAATTTTTTGGGTCCCCAAACCTGGCTGTTATTGATCGAGGATTCTGCGCAAAACGAGTGAAAGCGAGGGTCCGACAAAAGGGTCAGCGGACCTCGTCATTCATCGAGGGTCCGACAAAGGGGGCGCATTCTCCTCGAGCGGCCACGCGCGAACCGCACTGCTTCCACGCCGAATGGGACTCGCGCCCTTTCAGGCAGCAGAGGGAAAGGCGGACAAGGGGCAGCAGTTTGGGTACCTCTTCCTCCTCGGATCCACCTCCTTCTCCTCGTCCTCCTCTTCCTTCTCGGGCTGCTCGATAGCATGGTGGAGCCCCCCCCTCTGGTTGAACAGGGACCGACCGTTTCGGCATTCCTATAAGCATACCACGAACTGTTCTTAGAACCCAAGAATGTTCCAATAACCAAAACGATGTTCTTAGAGCATAAACCCGATGTGCTAACATAAGACAGTCCCAGCGTTCTTAGAACATAAACCCGATGTGCTAGCTAACATAAGACAGTCCCAGCCGGAAATGTTCTGAGAACAGTTCGTGGGAACCACCAAATGGTCTTGGAACACTGTTTGGTGGGGCGATAGGCGAGCCAGGACGCTTCGCCACTGCTTCACTCCGGAGCGCCGCATGCCCCCCCCCCCCCACATTGGCGGAACGCCCGATGCAGCAGCCTGCGCCGCCCCGGCAGGGCCCTCGGGGACGACCTCCCGCCGCAGCAGGGGGAAGAGCGCCTGCAATGGTGCGGGTGGTAATTGGCTGGCGGCGAGCGAGGGGGGGGAAGGAGGCGGAGGAGGAGGAGAGGAGGAGGAGGAGGAGGAGGAGGAGGAGGAGGAGGAGGACCAGCAGCAGCAGGAATACGAGGCGGAGGAGGAGGATGAGGAGGAGGGCTCAGAAGGCGGCGGGACTTCTCAGAAGCCCTCGCGTCTTCTGAGAGGTTTTTTTCTGTCTTCGGGGAAGGTTCAGAGAACTTCTCAGAAGGCCAGGGGACTTCCGACCGACCCTTCTCACTTCCCCCCCTCGCTCACCACCGAAATGGGGGGTGGCCCGCATGGGGGGTGACGAAAAAGGCTCTTTAAGGCCATGTTCTTCACTCCCTATTTAGGTCCACCCCCCCCTTTACCACCTGCCCGAGCCTGCTCGACGTAGTACTCCGACGTCCGGTGCTCGTCCTTGCGGGGGCGACCAGGGTCGGATCGACGAGCTGGCTCGGATCGGAGCGAGGCGCCGAAGCTCGGAGCAGAAGCTGCCGACACCGAGGCTCGTCCCGGAGGGCTCCCGTCGCCACGGCTGGGTGTGGGCCAGAATGCACCCCGGGAGAGGTCTGGGCAGTGGCGGAGCCGATATCCTTATCATCCTATCTACTCCTACCTATACGACCACCCTGCGGGTGATAAGGAGGTGAGGGGGGAGGGGGAACCAACGTCTCACTCAATCAATCTCGCTATCGATCTCACATTCGATCTCACTATCGATCTCACTATCGATCTCGCTATCGATCTCACTATCGATCTCACAATCGATCTCAAAATCGATCTCAAAATCGATCTCACAGTCGGTCTCACATTCGGTCTCACTGTCGATCTCACTGTCGATCTCACAATCGATCTCACAGTCGATCTCACAATCGATCTCACAGTCGATCTCACAATCGATCTCACAATCGATCGCACACTGGGTCTCACATTCGGTCTCACCGTCGATCTCACTATCGATCTCACAATCGATCTCACAGTCGATCTCACATTCGGTCTCACATTCGATCTCACTATCTCGATCTCACTATCGATCTCGCTATCGATCTCACTATCGATCTCACAATCGATCTCACAATCGATCTCACAATCGATCTCACATTCGGTCTCACATTCGGTCTCACTGTCGATCTCACTATCGATCCCACAATCGATCTCACAGTCGATCTCACATTCGGTCTCACATTCGGTCTCACTGTCGATCTCACTATCGATCCCACAATCGATCTCACAGTCGATCTCACATTCGGTCTCACATCCGGTCTCACTATCCATATCACAATCGATCTCACAATCGACGTCATCATCATCATCATCATCAACAACACCAACATCATCATCATCGCCATCATCAACATCATAATCATCATCATCATCATCAACATCATGATCGGGACACCGACGGGGCACCGACGGGACACTGGCGGGACACGGGCGGGACACCGCGCGCCACCGGCCGCCCGGTGGAGAATCATTTGGTCCGGCCGCGCCTCAGCCAGAGGAGACTTTCCTCTCGCCCGCCCACGCAGCTTCGCCTCGCCCGCACGCACGGCACGCACGAACACGAAACCGAAATCGATTTCCTGGTAGGGGGGCTCTCCGTTCCACTTCGATCTCACCCCCTCACCTCCGATCTACTCCTACCTACTCCGATCTACTACTCTCTACTCAGTAGATGACAGATGCTCCTATCTACTCCTATCGGGAGGCCCCCGAGGGACATAAAGAGGGGCCCCAAGAGAGACCCCCTTCAAAAAAGGGCCCCCAAGAGGCTTCGAAACGGCCTCCAAGGGGCCCCGAGAGAGGCCCCCTTTCACAAAAAGGGCCCCCAAGAGGCTTCAAAGCTGCCTCCCAAGGACCTCCCAATGAGATCCCGACGAGGGGCCCCGGATAGGCCTCCCGGAAGATGCCATAGCGCACCTCCGAGAGGCTTCCCTCTCGCAGGCCAGGCACGGTGGCGGGACTTGCCACTTGGGCAGCGGAGCAGCCTCTCCTCTTCCTCCTCCTCCTCCTCCTCCTCCTCCTCCTCCTCCCCCTCCTCCTGGGGGACTCCTCCTCCCCCTCCTCCTCCTCCTCCTTCCCCTCCTCCTCCTCATCCTCCTCCTCCCTCCTCCTCCTCCTCCTCCTCCTCCTCCTCCTCCTCCTCCTCCTCCTCCCCTCCTCTCTCCTCCTCTCCTCCTCCTCCTCCTCCTCCTCCTCCTCCCCCTCCCCCTCCTCCTCCTCCTCCTCCTCCTCCTCCTTCTCCTCCTCCTCCTCCTCCTCCTCCTCCTCCTCCTCCTCCTCCTCCTCCTCCTCCTTGGGCCCCCCAATCAATGCAGCTGGCAGGAGCGGCCAGCATCGAACCCGCAAGTCAAGTCGCATCGGGTCCGAGGGGGGTTCTCGAGCCTCGGCGACGCGCCCACCAGGTGGGGCGATGGCGGAGGGGGCGGGCCTGCGCAGAGAGCTCGGAGGACCTCCGGCTCTCTGAGAGGCCTCCTGAGCCGGCTAAGGAGCCGCAGGGGGCCTCTCAGAGGGCCAGAGGGCTCCTGCGAAGCCCCGCGACCTTCCGACGAGGCCTGCCCCCTCCCATTTCTCCCCTCGGCGCGCCTCCGAGAATCGCGCCACGTCGACACTCGAGCCGGAATCGAATCGGATCGGCCGCGCCAGGATGCACAACAGCGAACAGCGTCCGTGCAGAACATCGTGCCGCGCTGGGCCGTCGGAACGTGGGAGCCGGGTCGGATCGGGCTGGCCGAGATCTGCATCGAATCGAAGCGGTCGGATCGAGATGGGCTCCACCTTGTGCATCCAGCCGATCCCGCCAAGAAACCCGCGGTAGGTCCCCTCGAGCGGCCCGAGGATGCCGGGCAGTGCCAGGGGGGAGGACCACCAGGGGGGTCGACGCTTCCTGGAGGGA